AAAAGGGAGTGAAAGTGTATAAAATAAGGGAGGAGGAATTCGGGGGGGTATAACGACTGTTGGCAGAAAGTTGGGGTTGGGAAAGATGATAGGGGGGGGTTGAAGAGGGTTGGGAAAAGTTTTTTAAAAAAGCAGTATTTAAAAGTGGGGCAGAAGTTTGTGTTAAGGGGGTGGGGGCAGGGGGAAAAAAGGGGTGATTTGGGGGAATGAAAGAAAAGGGGGTGATAAAAGAGAAAAATTTGCTTATGAAGGTTTTTCAAAGCAGAAGTGTTTAAAAAAAAGCAGAGTAATGGAGAGTAAAAGAAAAAGAAGAGAGTGGTGAGAGAGTGCAAAAAGAGCAGATGAAGAGTGGGGGAGGCACTGTCAAGAAATTTTAAAAAAAAAAGAAAAAAAAATTTTGGAGTGAGTTAAACAAGTTAAGAAACCTAGGAAAAATAGGATTTGTCAGTTAAAACAGAGTAGGGGGTTAGTAGAAGGGGAGAGGGGGGTATTGGTAGATGGCGAGAATATTTTGAGGAACTTTTAAATATGAGGAAAAAAGGAGGCGGTTTAAAATTTCATGCACTGGGCAGGGGGGATTACCATCTTTTTGGGAAGAAGAAGAGCAAATGTTAAACGGGGGGAGTACGCGAGGGGATTCGTAAATTGAAAGGGGTAAAACAGCTGGGAAAGGATGGGGTCATGACAGAAATGTTAAAAATAGGGGGGGGTTGTGTTTGGATGGTTTTTACTTTTTTTTTTAATAAATGTATGAAAAGGGGGAAAGGGAAAGGGATTGGGGGGGAGCATTATAGGGCCCTTTATATAAAAGGGGAAGGGGACAAAAAATGGTAAAAAATTAAAAAGGGAATAAGTTTATTGGTATACCAGGAAAAGTGTCTGGGGTTTTAAATTAAAGAATTAGAGGAAGACAGAATGTAGGGTTGCGGAGAGCAAGGAGGTTTTAGAGTGGGTAGGGGGTTGTAGATCAAGGTTTTTAAATTAAACATATATGTAACGTATTTTGATAAAGGGAGGGGAAATTTTTTTTGCATTTATGGATTTTGAAAAGGCAATGATAAGTGGATAGGGACAATGTGGCAGATTTTCAAGTATATAGTAGTGTAATTACTAAATGGTAAAAAAGTTTTTATAGGATATGAACTCAGGTTAGGGGGGGTAGAAAAGGGGGGGACTATTCCCCGTAAAATAGTCTTGACGGATTGTAAGTCACCCATGGTTTTTAAATATTTATAGATGGGGTTTAAAAGAATAAATGCAATGTTGGGAGAGGGTGGGGTAAATTATGGGGAATCAAATTCAAAATGGGAATTTACACATTTTCTTTTTGCTGATGATACTGTGCTTTTGGGAGATTCAAAAAAATGCAAAAGTTAGTGGTGAGTTTTGGGGTTGTGTAAAGGGAGAATTGAAAGTGAACAAGAAAAAGGGAAAGGGGAGAGGTATCAAATGATTTAATAAGAAAAATTGGGTATCAAATTGGGGGGGAGGAGTATGGGAAAAGTGAATGTTTTCAATACTTGGGAGTTACGTGTCGGGGATGGATTTATGAAGGATGGGGTTAATCATAGAATTGATAAGGAAAAAAGGGGGGGTGCATTTTAGGATTGTGGAGTCAAAAAAACGTTATCTATGGAGGGAAAGAAGGAAAGTATGAAGATAGTAGTACCAAAACTCTAAATTGGGGGTGAAACTTGGGTGGTAAATGAGCGCGAGGAGAGATTTGGAAAGGGAGTGGAGATTCCTGCTAAAGGGGAAAGTGTGGGTAAAATTTTTTGCAGAAAATTTGGAGTGTGGGAAATTTGGAGAAGGTGTGGATTTTTTAAAACATTATCAAGGGCTGAAGAGGGTTTTTTTTTTTTTTTTTTTTTTTTTTTTTTTTTTTTTTTTTTTACACGGGTTTGACAAGGTTAAGGATTCCAAAATTTATTGGCAAGCTAACCTGTTACCCACTCAGCCCTTTGAAACCTTTTTTTTTGTTAGAAAACCCCCAAGAGGGAACTGGATGAAGTTGGGGCCATCTGTGGGCCAGCATTTTCATTTGATCAATGACTTTATCTCGTTGACACATTTGCTGTCGAAATTTTTCCATTTTCTCGGTATCCGGGTATGTATGATTCCAGATGGGGTGATGTTCGGAGAAGGGGACAGCCAGAGTGAAGTTGCTGCTTTTGCCCGTTTGTGGATAAAAATTGTTTAAACCCGTCCCCCAAGGATCCAAGTGTGGATTTGACAATATTGGCCTTGTAATAACAGTAAGGCACCCCCCATCCTCCTATGTTGAAGGGTCTGCTGAAATACAATTTCCTGGGGTCCCGGCGGAGTGGACGCTTGCTCTGTTCCTAATCTTCAAGCGTGCAGATGAGGGGGGGGAGGCAAACCAAAAAGTGGAGCATACTCAAGGTGTAGCGTACTTTTGCCCCGTACAGGATCTTTCAACCCCTATGTCAAGCAGATGGAGTACGGGGAAGTGCTGTAAGCTTCCTGGCTGCCTTGTTTTTTAAGATTTCAACTTTTTTTTTTCTGGTTGTTTTTTGGGGCAAATTTCACCCCCAAGGGTTTTAACTTTTCCCGGGGCCCAAAAACCCCCATTCATTCTTATACTGCATCAGCTTACCACATGGGCTAGAGACGATATCATTGCGTTTTCTCAGGTGAAAGGTTTCTTCCATCTATTTCCCCCAAATGATATAGCTCTCAGCTGGTATTGATGTAGCTTAGAGCAGTGGGGGTTTCTTCTCTTGGTAAGTGAATTCATGTACAGTCGTTGCAATTTTTGTGATTCTGGGATGATAAAAGGTCTTGAATAACTTTCCCTAACAATGGACCCCAGCACCCCTTGGGAACACTTGCCCCAATAGATGCTTGCGTTCCATTCCCCCTTTAGAACTACCTTTTAAAATCTACCATGAAGGGAACACTAGGAACATACGTAAGCCTGCAACCCCCGGGTTTAAGTTTTTTCTAGAGGGCCCGGGCCCCACCCGGCGAAATGCCACAATGTCCAGTGCACCAAAACAGCTGACTTTGGTTACCATACTGGTGCCACTTAATGGGAGGTTTTTAAAAACAGATCAGCAGCAGGAACCCCTTTCTAAGCATATTGCGATCACAAAATAGTAGTGGAGTCAAAAAAAATTGAATTTGTCTTGAGTTATTTTCTCAAGGATCCTTTTCCCGTGATTGAAAAGGGGTGACACTGGTCGTTTGCTGATTCTGCTCTGCTTTCTTTTTGTGAACAGGGGCTACATTTGCCCTTTCCATAGAGAGGGCATTTTCACTGTACTAGGCATGTAAGATGCAGTTTTGGGGGCGCTAGCGTCTGCACATCTTCTCAAATCTTGGGGTCAACTTTCTGGGCCCACCCCTTTTCTTGGGGCAAGCGATTTTTAATGGAAATGCACCTCCTCCTGCCTTATTGTCACCACTGACAGTTTTGATACAGTTCTTGCAGCTAGCCAAGGAGGGTCCCTTCCTGGATCAGGAACTTGCATTTTGGTAGCAAAGTGTTCAGCAAAGAGGTCCGCCTTCTCTTGACTACTAGTAGAGGTGGTCCCATCCTGTCGATTTAGAGGTGGAATAAGTTCATCAGGCAGATAACCTTGTCTGTCCTTGACCAGGGACCACCAGGTTTTGGAGCCTACCCTACCTGATGCTAACTTTCTTTTAGTGTCCACCTCCCATTTAGCAATGGCCCACTTTTGAACATCACCCATATGCCTACAGGCTTGCATGTGCAAGTTCCTGTTATAGGTGGTAGGATATCTCTTATACCTTCGCCATGCTTTGTACTTAGCAGTAGCAGCCTCTCTACAACGAAAGCCAAACCAAGGCTGATCTGTAGGCTTCGTCACATATTGCCGGTGAGGAATGTGTTTTTGTTGTAGGTTAAGGATGTGTCCAGTGAAGGCTTTCACTTGGTTGTCAACATCCCCTTGGAGAAGAGCATTCCAGTCGGTGGTGGCGAGCTCAGAGCAAAGGTGGTTTGGTCATTTAGAGAGAATGGATCAAAGTAGAATGACATGGAAAGCATATAAATCTATAGGGAAAGGAAGGCGAGGTAGGGGTCGTCCTCGAAAGCATTGGAGAGAGGGGGTAAAGGAGGTTTTGTGGGCAAGGGGCTTGGACTTCCAGCAAGCATGCGTGAGCGTGTTAGATAGGAGTGAATGGAGACGAATGGTACTTGGGACCTGACGATCTGTTGGAGTGTGAGCAGGGTAATATTTAGTGAAGGGATTCAGGGAAACCGGTTATTTTCATATAGTCGGACTTGAGTCCTGGAAATGGGAAGTACAATGCCTGCACTTTAAAGGAGGGGTTTGGGATATTGGCAGTTTGGAGGGATATGTTGTGTATCTTTATACGTATATGCTTCTAAACTGTTGTATTCTGAGCACCTCTGCAAAAACAGTGATTATGTGTGAGTGTGGTGAAAGTGTTGAATGATGATGAAAGCATTTTCTTTTTGGGGATTTTCTTTCTTTTTTGGGTCACCCTGCCTCGGTGGGAGATGGCTGACTTGTTGAAAAAAAAAAAATAATAAGATATTATCTCCATGGGAAAGTGGAACAGAATTCTTCCTCCGTAAGCCATGCGTGTTGTAAGAGGCAACTAAAATGCCGGGAGCAAGGGGCTAGTAACCTCTTCTCCTGTATAAATTACTAAATTTAAAAGAGAAACTTTCATTTTTCTTTTTGGGCCACCCCGCCTTGGTGGGATATGGCCGGTGTGTTGAAAGAAAGAAAGAATAAGATATTATCTCCTTTATAGTATAATAAGTTAATAAAAGGACCCCAATGGAAATTATTCACTCTGACTATTTTTGGGTTATCCTAGCTTCTCTACACATGTGCTGCTATGTATGATAATCTTTGTAACTGTATTTGTGTATACAGTACCTGAATAAACTTACTTATTCTAATAAAGTATCTTTAATCTTTGGTCTTTTAGTCCTTGTTTGTCTCCACTCCTAAAGACTCATATTGGTCTTGTGTTTGCAGGCAATGAACACTGGGAAACGCTATGCTGTACATTTTCAAGTCTAGTCTCTTACATTCCGGCCTTAGAATTCTCTGACCGCTTAGTACGAGACCCTCAGCTGGCTTCTGATTGGTTAACGAAGTTAGCGTCATCAATAAACCAGATTTCCAGTTTTTACCACACTATTGTAACCTCTGTGTTCTTGTACCAAGGCTCCACAAGTCAGTCAGTACAACAAGCAACTAAGGTCAGCACCAAGAAACATTTTCTGCTTGTTGTCTTTAATGTACTGACTGTTTCACACCAAGGCAGGGTGACTTTAACCCGTAAACGGTCCAAACGTATATATACGTTCTCTCCCGTAGTGCCCCAAATTTTTTGAGAAAAAAAAAATTGTTGTTTTTAATAGGAAAGAAGAGCATATGGTACCCAGGCATCCCCAATTATTTTAATATGGCACACACTGAGTGCGCACACCCATTCTCTCATGTCTAGGTGACTCAGGCTTATTGTGGCAATGTTGAATGTATGACAATTAAAACGTATATATACGTTTGGGGCACTAGCAGTAAAAACCTATATATACGTTTGGGGCACTAGCAGTAAAAACGTATATATACGTTTGGGGCACTAGCAGTAAAAACGTATATATACGTTTGGGGCACTAGCAGTAAAAACGTATATATACGTTTGGACCGTTTACGGGTTTAAAGAAAAACAAAAGTTTTTTCCCTTAACACACCGGCCATCTCCCATTTCATAATTTATAAAGGAGCAGGGGTTACTAGCCCCTTGCTCCTGGTATTTTAGTTGCCTCTTATATCCATTATTAAAAAAGTCACTACAAGTTCTCATTTCATGATGCACAACACTGGTATGTTGGCTTCTCTTACTTTGCTGTGTTCCATGACATGCTGGCACATAGCTAATTTGCACTAGTGGTATACAGGTGATTTTTTTTTTTTCAACAAGTCGGCCGTCTCCCACCGAGGCAGGGTGACCCAAAAAAGAAAGAAAATCCCCAAAAAGAAAATACTTTCATCATCATTCAACACTTTCACCACACTCACACATTATCACTGCTTTTGCAGAGGTGCTCAGAATACAACAGTTTAGAAGCATATACATATAAAGATACACAACATATCCCTCCAAACTGCCAATATCCCAAATCCCTCCTTTAAAGTGCAGGCATTGTACTTCCCATTTCCAGGACTCAAGTCCGACTATATGAAAATAAAATATGAAAATAAAATACAGGTGATATGCAGCCTTAATGATTCTCATTCAGTCGATAGGCTTCAAATTTTTCTGATAGGCTTCAGGTCCAACAAACCAATGGGGAATTAAACAAATGAATGCCAGTATTGAGGTGTGTTAGTGGAAAACAGGAATAAATAAAGGGTATGTAAAGAACATACTAAAAATATCTAGCCATGACAGGACTTGCAACAATGTAATATAATATAATAATAATATAATATCTTGATTTACTACAAGTACATGTACAAGGTATACAGGCCTAGCTGACATCAATAACACATTACTATATAGAAACCCGCTAGATATGCAGAGCACATTGCGCAAATTAGGCCGGTTTTGTCCCAGGATGTGATTCACACCAGTCAACTAACACCCAGGTACCCATTTTACTGATGGGTGGACATAGACAACTGGTGTAAGGCAACATGTCCAATGTTTCCACCCCTTTCCTGGGAATCGAACCTGGACCCTCACCATGTGAAGTGAGAGCTTTTGCCACCAGGCCACAGGGCACCAGTGTTTTGAAGTTGGAAAAATTTAGATATAGAAAGGATATAGGAAAGCAATGGTTTGGTAATAGAGTTGTGGGTGATTGGAACAAACTCCTAAGTAACATCATTGTAGTTTTAAAAATAGATTATACATGAATGGGTGCAGGTGGGTGTGAGTTGGACCTGACTAACTCGGGCCAGTAGGCCTGCTGCCGTGCTCCTTCTTATGTTCATAACTATATGCCTAATTACTTAGTCTTTCTCTTAACATTAGGTTCTGGAACGTGAAGTAATGAAAAAGAAGGCACTATCTCTGGAGGTGTTCCCCATGGTGTTGTATCGTCTGGGCCGGGAAGTCGACCCCACAACTCGCCTCACTCTCCTCTACACTCTACCATCTCTGGCTGTCAACAAAGTATGTATGTTCTTTATTCACAATTTCATTAACTTTCTTGCCGAACTTTGTCAAAATTCCTGAGTGGTGGTGATCAACAGTGCCGCAGTCCCATAAATTGTTGGGCCTCCTCTGGGAATGGGGGGGGGGGTGTTGATGCTTTTGAAAAGCTTGGGATTCATGGAATTGGTAATGTCATTATCTTTGTTTGATCAAACCTGTTTACCTCCCATTATCCAGTCACTGTATGATGATCATTACAAGCTCACAGCTCATCATGAAAATGAGAATGAAAATGTTTATTTCCTTGCAAAGCTTACCATTAACACCCCTCCTTCAGGGGTGTTAATGTTGCAGTTTAAAAACTGTAGTGTAAAGCACCCTTCTGGCAAGACAGTGATGGAGTGAATGATGGTGAAAGTTTTTCTTTTTCGGGCCACCCTGCCTTGGTGGGAATCGGCCAGTGTGTTAATAAATAATATAAAAAAAAAGCTTACCATGTGTGGTTTACATATTATAAAATATTAATTACAAAGAAGGCCACTAGCATGCCTAGGCATTTTGGGCAGATTACTCCTAATTCTTACTCTCTACTGACACAGGTTATGGAGCACTACATTTTAATATACCTTATTGCATACTAATATAAAAGTTAGGGGACTGAAGTGATTAATTAGATTGATAACAGTGAGGTAGTACAAAACATATAACAATATTACATGAATATACTAGTGTTACATGAATATACTAGTATTAGTAACAATAATAATACATAATACTATAATAATAATAGGAATAATAATAATAGGAACCATTATAATAGGAGTAATAATAATAATAGTAATAATAATAATAATTGAATGATAGTAAATTTTTTTTTTTATTACCAACCTCGGTGGGAGACGACTGGTGTATGAAAAAGCTGACTGGAGGTTTTGTGATAGTATAATATGTCTGTGTTAGCTCACCTGTGACTAGGGAAGTGCTAAACCCATAAGGCAATTAAGTTTGATCCAAAGAAGAGGAGGATAGCTCCACTTCCTTGGATCAAGAGATCATTAATATCAAGACTACCCCCTTGAAGTGATCAGCGATGGAACAGTTATCAATTTTACACTCATGGCGATACCATCAAAGTTAGCCACTACCCACTGATAACACTACTTTAGCATGCCCTTACTAATACTAATTACAATATTAATACGTACAGTAAGTTCTTGACTTACAAACACATTGAGAATCTTTTGTGTTGTGTATAATATCACTAGTATTATATCATTATTATACACAATACATGTCCCCAACGTGTTCATAAGTTGAAGACTTCTTGTATTATGAATATTATACACAATTCAGGAGGTCTCCAATGTGTTTGTAAGTCCAGGGCTTACTGTAACATTTTATTGACTAGGTCATATCATGATTGATACATGTTACAGCAAATGTTTGTCCATACAGCTCTGTGTTGCACTGGTGTTGAAGACTCTACTAGCCTTCTGGTCATCGGGATCACTTCGTCCTCTTGTGTTGCGTCTGGTTTACGACCTATGGACGGTGGAGCCCAGGACCTATTCCTATCTCTCTCAGCTCATCCATGACAAGTCGATCAACACCAATGAGATTCAGATTGCTCGTGCCTTCATCGTTGCTAGCATTTGCAAAGCAAAGTAAGCACATTGATGTATAATTTAGTGTTGATGATTTGCTATCTTTGCTCGTGTTGCTGTTCAGAAGGTCATCTGAACTGTGATGTCAGCATGATTCTGGCTAGACAGTGACTGAATGATAGTGAGAGTGTTTCCTCTTTTATTTTACACTCTATCTCAGTGGGAGATGGCTGATGTGTTAAAAAATCTAATCTAAAATCCTTAAGCAAGAATATAATTACCACAATGGAAAAAAAAAAAGCCAAATTCATTGACTTTCTTTTACACTGTAAACACTCCCTGTACAAGCCCCTCAGGGGAAGTGTCTTGAGGCTAGTGAAGGGCTCTTGATCTGAGGAAGTGGAGCTATTCTCTCCTTTGAATTTTACTTCACTGCTTCCTGTTACATACATGATCTATATACAGCCTCTGGTAAGACAGTGATAGTGTGAATGATGGTGAAAGTTAACTCTTCTGGTCACCTTGCCTCTGTGGGAAACAGCCAGTGTGTTAAAAAAGAAATCTACCCTTACACCTGAGTACTGTAATTTCTTTTTTTTTTTTTTTTTTTTTTTCAACAAGTCGGTCGTCTCCCACCGAGGCAGGGTGACCCAAAAAAAGAAAGGAAATCCCCAAAAAGAAAACACTTTCATCATCATTCAACACTTTCACCACACTCACACATTATCACTGCTTTTGCAGAGGTGCTCAGAATACAACAGTTTAGAAGCATATACGTATAAAGATACACAATATACCCCTCCAAACTGCCAATATCCCAAACCCCTCCTTTAAAGTGCAGGCATTGTACTGTAATTATCATATTTATATACTCATCTCATAAGTACATAATGGCAGTTTCCTACAATTTGAGCTACTTTTGATAAAAAATATTTAATTTGGAATATAAATCCCCAGAGAATTAATAACCCAGGAGAGCCCAGCATTGTGGCTCGTCTTCACTGTGATCCTTAGGCTTTTCCTAGGATGCCACCCACAACAGTTTACAAATTTCTAGATGCGTTTACTAATAAGGTGATCATGGGCAGTGAGTATAAGAAGACTTGCCCATATTTCTTACCTTGACAAGGATCCAGCCCAAGTCCTCCGAGTTGTAAACCACACACACACGCTACTACTGAGCTACAAGATACTTTCATTCACTGTTACGTCACACATATTACATTCTCACAATTTTCACATTCAGTATTTAGAAAATTATCAGATTTTTTTCAACTCACTGGCCATGTCCCACCAAGGCAGGGTGACCCTACAAGAAAAATGAAAGTTTTTCTTTTTAAATTTAGTATAATTTATACAGGAGAAGGGGTTACTATCCCCTTGCTCCCGGCATTTTAGTCACCTCTTATGACATGCATGGCTTATGGAGGAAGAAAAAATTATCAGATGTTTACAATTATAGGTGATCACAGCCAGCTAACAGTGATATTGTATATTTTTTTGAGAACTGGGTAAATGTGTATGTAGAATTTTTCCTTCCAAGATTTATGCATGAGGCTGTTTTTTCTACTGTCAGAACTTAAAAGGCACTGGAAGTACAGAAGAGATAGAAGTGGATACTTCAAAACTTAGCTGGACTTGGAGTCCTAGAGGTGTGATCTCTTCAGAGTGCAGAGGTGATGTTGCAGTCAGTGTCATCTGAACTGTGATGGCAACACACTACTGGAAAAATGGTGACTGAATGAATAATGATGAAAGTGTTTCCTTCTTCAGGTCACCCTGTGTTGGTGGGAGATGACCATTTGAGGAAATTAACAAAAAAATTGAAAGTTACTCCATTTTACTGTATCTAAGTTATCCAGCACCCACTGATAACATTGATGGTCATATCGTCAGAGTTATCCAGTACCCATTTTAGTTAGTTTTCTATATTCCTGTAACAACCCTTCAAGGGTAGTGATCCAGTTTATTAGTGCTGTCCTCTTGTCATTCTGCAGCTGCTGTGATCCTTAAGGGCTCTTGATCTAAGGAATTGAAGCTGCCCTTTCCTTCCTTTAATCAAGCCTGATTGCTTCCTATTACACTGGCACTGTATGACCCTTATTAGTTGAACATTGCCCTATGAATACATAGCACAGTAATAACAACAATTGAATGAATAATGGTGAATGTGCTTTCTTCTTTGGATCACCCTGCCTTGGAGGGTGATGTATGTTGAGGTAAAATAAATGCAAAGAATTTTTTTTCCAACAAACCATCCGTCTCACACTGAGGCAGAGTGACCTGAAAAAGAGGAAATTATACAGTTTTTCTTCTTTTTACATTTAGTAATTTAGTCGCCTCTTACGACATGCATGGCTTATGGAGAATGGAGTGGAATTCTTTTCCACTTCCCCATGGAGGGAAATGAAATAACTTTAACAGTTTATAATGTACTTTTGTTTTTCTTTTTGAGCCACCTTGCCTCGGTGGGAAACGGCCGATTTGTTGAAAGAAGTAGTTTATAATGTGTTGTTATATTGTGTGTATGTTGCAGGCCATCTCAACATGGTGAGGAGCTTCTGCCACTCTTGTCTGGGTTCCTGAATGAGTGTAAGAGTGATGATGGAACTCCGCAGACCTTGATAGCTCTAGATGGTATTTATGATTTGTGTGCCAACCAGATTATAGATCTACGAACAACGTGGCGTGTCATTGCTCCCAAACTGGTACGAGATAAGAGGCCTGGGGTGACAGAAAAGCTGTGTGCACTGCTGGGGCTAGTGCCAGTGCTCCACGTGGCCAGTGTGGAGTATGAAAAGTTTACTTCAGATGCCGTCACAATCTTGTGGAACTGGATAGCATCTCACCGATCTCTTTCGGTAGTAAAAGCCGCATACATGTCACTTGAAAAGTTTAAATATGATGATTACACACTAAAGATGCTCCCACAGTATGCTAGAATGGGTCACCAGCTACCAGCTAGCATGGCAGCCACGCCATTTGAAGCTGCTCGCAAGGCTGAAGATGTGCTTAACTATGTGCCTGGTTTAGCATGGGTTAAGCTAATTAAAGGCTGCCCAGAATCTCATCTTGTCTGTGTCGAGAGTTTCATCAACTCGTTGGTATCGCGTGAAGTTGCTGCCCTTCCAAAAGGCATATATCTAACTGCTATTCAAGAAGCTAAGCGCAGGGGAATCAAAGGTGTTAATGGTCAACCTGAGCCACAGTCCTATAGTTTTTTTAAGGAGATGTCGATTCTGAAAGCCATTGTAAACTTTCTTTTGGATTTCTCAAATTTGATGAAGAACTGTGAGCATGCTGAAGTGAAGCAGAGGTTGCTTAGGTGCTCAGTGTTGATGCTTGAGGCTCTAGGTCAGTCTCTTCCCCGTCCATATCCTGCTCTTGACTGGTCTTTTCTTGAGAATGTTTTGATATCAGCACAGTCGACCTGCAACTATGACTGGATCACAAGAATACGCCATAGCCTCTTTCAGATAGCAGCTCGTCAGTGTAACAAATCAAACTCAGCAAGTGCATTAATTAGTAAGTGGCTAGTTCCTGCACCATCTAATGGTCTAACACGAGAAGATGAAATTGTCCTGTTTAAGTTGTTGGATCATCTTGGTCGTGGTTTACCACCAACTGTTTTGCAGCCTTTCGTGGCCTATGTTTTTAATCAACATATGTCAGAAACTGTGCATATGAAGAAGCTTCTTGAGGCCTTAAAGCCAAATCTCACTGCAGACTTTATCTTTGACACAAACAGGAATGTCCTGAGTAATGCAATAGAGAATCTAAATGAGCATATAGATCCAGCAAATGAAGTCATGTATGTAGCTTACAAAGCATGTGTTGCAGATCTTCCACTGAAGCACATAGAACGTCTGACTTCTCCATCACTCTGGTGGGAAGTCACTGATGAACGACTATATCGAGCAGCTGTGTTACGTTGTCACGTTGCGGAGAAGGACCCTGAAGAATTAGCTCTACCATGGTTAAATGATCTGGTCGACTCTGCCGCTGCTCTACCTGGGGACCGTTCGCATCTGCTTCGAGTCATGTCAAATACTCTTGTAGTCCGGTGTCGAGTGAAGGAGAGCACTACGTGGTTTTTGCAACTTCTAGGAAGATTGCGTGATCATCTGAAGGCAAAGCCAGGAGACAACCTTGTGGCAGCTCATGAGCAGCAACAGAGAGTCACTTTCTATCTTGATCTAGTAGTGATGGGACTGTTGGTGTGGTCAGACTTGTGGGCCACAAACCAGATGGAAGTCTTGGCAGAGTCTCCAGCACTTCGAGACCGCCTCCTGCTTCCTTCCATTGTAACCTTATCTGGCCAGACCGAGTGGAAACAAACTCTTAACCAGCTTCTCAATTGGCTGTTGTCTTCTCACTCTCTGATGGGTGAACATGCCAGTTCCCGTTACCATCTGTCTTCACCTACTCTCCTCCTTGCCACTCTCAATCCAGATCTTACTCAAATTATGTGGAATAAAGTTATTGCCTTAGTTATTTAAGGCTTAAAAATGTAGATAATTTATTCTCTAGTAGTCATTGTAGATCTTAATGCCATTTATTGCAACATTTAGAGTAATGCATCAAGTGTTTTCCTTTATATATACTATTGGGCGTTATTCATTTCTATGGTATAAACCTTGGTAATAAATACCGACAAGTTAGTTTAGAAAAATACGTAAGCAAACACTAGGACATATTTATTAGAAAATGTTTCGGCCCTGGGACCTTGATCACTTCTAATATCATCAAGGTCCCAAGACCAAAACATTATCTAATAAATATGTATGTCCTAGTGATTGATTACACGTTTTTCTTAACCATTCATTTCTATAAACGTTCACCTTGAGGCTGGAATTTGAGCCATAATGACTCGTGAAATTGCAGTAACGCAATTGCAAACAAATCAACAAATGGATGGGATTTGAACCCATGGCAAGTCCTAAAATTCACCGGCCTGTGAGGTTTAGCACTCGTGTGTCGTGGATTTAAATCCCACCTGTTTCCTGACTTGAGTTATCTTGTCCTTCAAATTCAAACTCAATTTTTTATTTCTTTGCATAGTATGCAATGTGTGATTTACATGTAATAAAATAGTGTTAAGCACAAAGAAAGCCACTAACATGCCTGAGCATTTCCTTATACAAATACAGTGGACCCCCGGTATACGATGTTATTTCATTCCAGAAGTATGTTCAGGTGCCAGTACTGAACAAATTTGTTCCCATAAGGAATATTGTGAATTAGATTAGTCCATTTCAGACCCCCAAACATACACGTACAAACGCACTTACATAAATACACTTACATAATTAGTTGCATTGGGAGCTAATCGTAAAGTGGGGGTCCACTGTATAGATACAAGTTTACACAATACATTGTTATACAGAGATGGTGACACTTGAATGTATGTTGAAAGCTCATGGCTATGCAGAGCATTTCAGACAAGCTTAACCCTTAAACTGTCGAAACGTAGATCTACGTTTGCTCGCGTAGCGCTCCGAACGTAGATTTACGTTTTTTTTACATTGTTTCTTATGGAGAAAATCAAGGTTGGAGTGCTACGCATGCAAATGTAGATCTACATTTGGACAGTTTAAGGGTTAAAGCCCTAGATATTGTATGATTTCTGTATTCCATTGAATATAATAATCATAATATAAATTCGTATTTATCTTTTTCGTAACCCCTTCTTCTGTATGAATTACTAAATTTAAAAAGAAAAACATTTCCTTTTCTTTTTAGGTCACCCTGTCTGTGTGGAATATAGCCGGTGTGCTGAAATAAAGAATTTTTTTTTCCTTTCTCTATATCCTAGTTGTCAGTGTTTTCTCTACATCTCTTTGCCTTACCCATTCCTTCTATGTCATTTTTTCTTCTGTTTAATATATTATTTATTGTACAAAGAAATTATTTATCAGGATAAGTTTTAGAAAATCTCCAGAAGCCTCACTTCTACTCTTGTGGTTCGTCTGTCTGGCTATCAGCATGTGTATTCCCACTTATCTATTTGTCTGTCTTTAGAGATGCCACTGGTTTTAAAGTTTCCCAGTGAATATAATAATACTAATACAAATTATAAAAGGATATGAAATGAATTGACAAGATTGACTGACTCCATCAACTGCCATAACCACACACTATACTGTAACTGTAACCACACCATACTGTAACTATAATTTGCAGAAGAAAACATAAAAAATTCAGTATTTCAGACACGAGAAGATAAGATAGGGTAAGATTTCATTTGGACTTTTAATCCCAGAGGGTTAGCCACCCAGGATAACCCAAGAAAGGCAGTGCATCATCGAGGGACTATCTGCCTTATTTCCACTGGGGTCCTTAATCTTGTCCCCCAGGATTTGACCCACACCAGTTGACTAACACCCAGGTACCTACTTGCTTGCTAGGTGAACTGACAACAGGTGTAAGGAAACACACCCAGTGTTTCCACCCGGCCGGGAATCAAACCACGGATACTCAGCATGTGAAGCGAGAGCTTTGCCTAACAGGCCAAGGGCCACTGTAAGTCAATCAGGGTGGAAGTGGTAGATGCTGGATACTTCAACTACTGAGTGACAGACACTCTACCCTTGTAGCCAGATTGCAATCTTAAACATATAAATTACAAATAACCCGCACATAGGAGAGAGGAGCTTACGACGAAGTTTTGGTCTGTCTTGGACCGTTTACAAAGCTCTTTTTTGTCATGTTGGAGATCACAGTCATCCTATTGACTGGTCTTCTGCTAAAACTGTCTACCCTACTTCTAACTTTCACAGTCACCATCTGGTTGAATCCTCCCTTATAAACAACTTTCCCTGTGTGAATCTTAGTCCTGGCTTTGTCTCTGTAGATGCCTTCATTTTCCATTACATTGCATTGCAAAATGCTCCAAACTTCAGAACACCCATGACTTAACCTGATTCTTTTTTTCTCCTTTTCTTTTCATCTCTTCCCCTTCTCTTTTTGCCTTTTTCTTCTTTGGGTTTTCTTTCTTCTGCCTTGGATGTTTGGTCCTTTATTCCCCCACCCTTTGTTTTTATTTCTACCCTTTGTGGCCCCTTAGTTCTCCTGCAGTCCATCTCTTTCTTGGCCTTTGCCTGACTCCACTACTTCTGCTACTACCTCTCTACTTCCTTTCTTACTACATACCTCTCTTGTCCCGTCCCTGTCAGCTGGCCTATGTATACTGCCCCCTTCTCCTCTCCTTTCTGTGTAGTATATATACAACAGTGGTTATAAGTATGATCATAATTTTTAAAATGGTGGACCAGTAAGCCAGTGGAAGGCCCCAGTCAGATGACCAAAAGCTCCAACATCTGGTCATTATCTGACGAAGACCCATGTCGGGAAACACTTGTCCTGTTTCCTGGCAAACCTTACCTAACCTAACCTCTCCTTTCTCTTAGTGTGACTTTGTAAATGGTCCAAGTCAAACAAACGTTGTTGTAAGCTCCTCTCTCCTATGTGCACGTTATTTGTGTATTGTTCCAGTCACGGTATTGTGCCTTTTTTGTTCTTAATACATATAAACCCTCTATATCAGTGGTTCTTATTTCGGGGTATCTATAACCCTTGAGGGGTATTGGAACCAAATAATGGGGGTATGGAACTCTATTTCTGAACAATTTAAAAAAAAGTTGTTAGAATAAATTATCAGTTGTTCTGTTCCTAGTTATCTACAGGTAGGGCCTGCTTTACAATGCTTTGCTTTACAGTGCTCTGCTTTAAAGTCCTTCCCTTTATGATGTTTCGCTAATGCAGTGGTTTTCAATTATACCCAGAACCTAACCTGCTGTATAAGTGGGGCCCAGAACCTAACCTGCTGTATAAGTGGGGCCCAGAACCTAACCTGCTGTATAAGTGGGGCCCAGAACCTAAACTGCTGTATAAGCGGGGCCCTACAGTAGCCTAGAACCTAACCTGCTGTATAAGCGGGGCCTACAGTAGCCTGGAACCTAACCTGCTGTATAAGCGGGGCCTACAGTAGCCTGGAACCTAACCTGCTGTATAAGCGGGGCCCTACAGTAGCCTAGAACCTAACCTGCTGTATAAGCGGGGCCCTACAGTAGCCTAGAACCTAACCTGCTGTATAAGCGGGGCCCTACAGTAGCCTAGAACCTAACCTGCTGTATAAGCGGGGCCCTACAGTAGCCTAGAACCTAACCTGCTGTATAAGCAGGGCCCTACAGTAGCCTGGAACCTAACCTGCTGTATAAGCGGGGCCCTACAGTAGCCTAGAACCTAACCTGCTGTATAAGCGGGGCCCTACAGTAGCCTAGAACCTAACCTGCTGTATAAGCGGGGCCCTACAGTAGCCTAGAACCTAACCTGCTGTATAAGCGGGGCCCTACAGTAGCCTGGAACCTAACCTGCTGTATAAGCGGGGCCCTACAGTAGCCTAGAACCTAACCTGCTGTATAAGCGGGGCCCTACAGTAGCCTAGAACCTAACCTGCTGTATAAGCGGGGCCCTACAGTAGCCTAGAACCTAACCTGCTGTATAAGCGGGGCCCTACAGTAGCCTAGAACCTAACCTGCTGTATAAGCGGGGCCCTACAGTAGCCTAGAACCTAACCTGCTGTATAAGTGGGGCCCTACAGTAGCCTAGAACCTAACCTGCTGTATAAGTGGGGCCCATAACCTAACCTGCTGTATAAGTGGGGCCCATAACCTAAACTGCTGTATAAGCAGGACCCAGAACCTAACCTGCTATACAAGAGGAGCCCAGAACCTAACCTGCTGTACAAGAGGAGCCCAGAACCTAACTCCCCTCCTCCATGCTGATGAAGGGGAGCTTTTGATCCAAGGAATTGGATCTATCTTCCCCTTCCCCAGGTGCTATAAGACCCCTATGGGTTTAGTGCTTTCCTCTATAAAAAGTTAACTCTTCTTGAGGAAGATGTGTCCTGCACACCTGCCTCCTGACAAGGAAGGTGTGAACCCTTACACCTGCCTTTAGACAAGGCAGATGTGTCCTCTATACATGCCTCCTGAGAAGGCAGGTGTGTGCCCCCCACACCTCTCCTGACAAAGCAGGCAGGAACCCCCACACTTGTCTCCTGACAAAGCAGGCAGGAATCCCCACACCTGTCTCCTGATAAAGCAGGCAGGAACCCCCACACCTGTCTCCTGACAAGGCAGGTGTGTGCCCCCCCACACCTGCCTCCTGACAACGTTCCTTTAATTTGATGCTTATTATTATAATCATGGGGGAGCGCTGAACCCGTAAGGATTATGCAGCCAATTAATGCCAATATGGTGTAGGCTTTATTATTATTATATTATTATTATTATTAATATTATTATTATCAAGTTAGGAGAGAACAGTAGAGGCCAGAATATAATGTAGGAGGGGCACACACCTGCCTTCTGACAAGGCAGGTGTGTGCCCCATGCACCTGCCTTCTGACAAGGCGAGTGTGTGCCCCCCACACCTGCCTCTTGACAAGGCAGGTGTGTGCCCCCCTGCACCTGCCTCCTGGCAAGGCGAGTGTGTGCCCCCCACACCTGCCTCCTGACAAGGCAGGTGTGTGCCCCCACCTGCCTCCTGACAAGGCAGGTGTGTGCCCCTCCTACATTATATTCTGGCCTCTACTGTTCTCTCCTAACTTGATAATAATAATATTAATAATAATAATATAATAATAATAATAAAGCCTACACCATATTGGCATTAATTGGCTGCATAATCCTTACGGGTTCAGCGCTCCCCCATGATTATAATAATTAGCATCAAATTAAAGGAACGTTGAAACCAGGTATCGGGATCCATAATGTCTGATAATTCATCTCAAAATCCATCTTAGAGACAATAAACCACACTGAAATATGGAAAAACCCACCGGGAGAAATATTCCGGTGGATAATACGTCCCAGGGGGTGAATATTAGGGTTAAATAAGGAATATTAGGGTGATATGTGTGGAGGTCACGTGACCTGAGGCGCCATATGAAAACAAGTTGAGTGTTGACGCAGGTGGGAGGACGCCATAGTCTTCCTCCACCTATTTTACCTCCATTTAGCCTCCTCCGAGGCCCTCCAGCACTCCACGCCTCCGGAGTGGAGGCTGCTGCACTCCCTGGAGGCCCAGAGTAGAGGTAATAGTGGAGTTAACAGCTAATAATGGAGGGAGATGTGACCTGGGACGGACATTGTTGATTCTCTCCCTGCTTTAAATATTCAATATTTTTCATCCTCGTTTTTACCATTATATCTCTTGGGGTTTAAGACACGTTTCCAGCACTTGGGGGTTTCTCGATGCGATGTTTCGCCCCTCAAGCACCCGGCTACTGCAGTGTATTAAGTGTTAATACAGAGCAAGACAATGTAATAAATGGCTTTACTCTTGCTTATTTAATTATGTTTCTAATTTAGTTGTCGAAACTGTAACTAAATGGACTGTAAACTTTTATGTAAACTTTTATGTAAACTTGTGTTAACCTCTGTTAACTTCTGTATTAACTATGTTAACATAAAAGTTAACATAGTTAATACAGAAGTTAACATAGAAGTTAACATAGAGGTTAACACAGAAGTTTACATAGTTAACATAAAAGTTTACATAGTTAACATAAAAGTTTACATAGTTAACATAAAAGTTTACATAGTTAACATAAAAGTTTACATAGTTAACATAAAAGTTTGGTATAAACCTTTGTAATAAATACCGACAAGTTGCTTTAGAAAGACACGTAAGCAAACACTATAACATATTTATTAGAAAACGTTTCGGTCCTGGGACCTTGATCACTTCTAACATACAGAGGTAGAAAGACATTATATATATAGGCGGAGAGTGAGATGTGACGCACGTGACCTGAGGAATGTCATAAGAACATAAGAATGGAGGAACACTGTAGAAGGCCTACTGGCCCATGCGAGGCAGGTCCTTATCAAAACAACCTCTGCCTATGTGTGTGATGAATGGTTTGAAAAACCGACAAGTTGAAGATTGAGACACTTATGCAGGATATGGGAATCTTTATTCAGGACGGGTAGACGGGATGAGGACGGGTAGACGATGAAATCATGTGACTCCTGTGTTGTTGGGTTGGTGCTGCTTAAGTATCATGTATGCCAATGTTTTTGAAATTTTGTAGTTTCCAGTGTTGCGTTCTATAGTGTCGGTGACGGCGATTAGTGAGGCTTCTAGGCACCGTCGGCGTCTGAGGTCTGGCATTTGATGAACTGGAACGAGGCACAACTCGTTCTCACCGAACCAGACCTCAGACGCCGACGGTGCCTAGAAGCCTCACTAATCGCCGTCACCGACACTATAGAACGCAACACTGGAAACTACAAAATTTCAAAAACATTGGCATACATGATACTTAAGCAGCACCAACCCAACAACACAGGAGTCACATGATTTCATCGTCTACTGGTCCTCATCATAGGTAGAGGTTGTTTTGATAAGGACCTGCCTCGCATGGGCCAGTAGGCCTTCTACAGTGTTCCTCCATTCTTATGTTCTTATTACATTCCTCAGGTCACGTGCGTCACATCTCACTCTGCGCCTATATATATAATGTCTTTCTACCTCTGTATGTTAGAAGTGATCAAGGTCCCAGGACCGAAACGTTTTCTAATAAATATGTTATAGTGTTTGCTTACCTGTCTTTCTAAACCAACATAAAAGTTTACATAGTTTACATAAAAGTTTACATAAAAGTTTATATAAAAGTTTACATAAAAGTTAACTTCAATGTTAACTTCAATGTTAACTTCAATGTTAACTTCAATGTTAACTTCAATGTTAACTTCAATGTTAACTTCTATGTTAACTTCAATGTTAACTTCAATGTTAACTTCAATGTTAACTTCAATGTTAACTTCAATGTTAACTTCAATGTTAACTTCAATGTTAACTTCAATGTTAACTTCAATGTTAACTTCTATGTTAACTTCTATGTTAACTTCTATGTTAACTTCTATGTTAACTTCTATGTTAACTTCTATGTTAACTTCTATGTTAACTTCTATGTTAACTTCTATGTTAACTTCTATGTTAACTTCTATGTTAACTTCTATGTTAACTTCTATGTTAACTTCTATGTTAACTTCTATGTTAACTTCTATGTTAACTTCTATGTTAACTTCTATGCGAACTTCTTTGTAGACTAATATGTAACTTCTAAGTAAACTCAAATTTCTATGTAAACTTTTATTTAACTTTTAAGTATACTTCTCCAAAGTCTGTATGAATTTGTTACTTCTGTGTAACCTACTGTGTTACTTCTGTGTAACCTACTGTGTTACTTCTGTGTAACCTACTGTGTTACTTCTGTGTAACCTACTGTGTTACTTCTGTGTAACTTACTGTGTTACTTCTGTGTAACCTACTGTGTTACTTCTGTGTAACCTACTGTGTTACTTGTGTAACCTACTGTGTTACTTCTGTGTAACCTACTGTGTTACTTGTGTAACCTACTGTGTTACTTCTGTGTAACCTGCTGTGTTACTTCTGTGTAACCTGCTGTGTTACTTCTGTGTAACCTACTGTGTTACTTGTGTAACCTACTGTGTTACTTCTGTGTAACCTACTGTGTTACTTCTGTGTAACCTACTGTGTTACTTGTGTAACCTACTGTGTTACTTCTGTGTAACCTGCTGTGTTACTTCTGTGTAACCTGCTGTGTTACTTCTGTGTAACTTACTGTGTTACTTCTGTGTAACTTACTGTGTTACTTCTGTGTAACTTACTGTGTTACTTCTGTGTAACCTACTGTGTTACTTCTGTGTAACTTACTGTGTTACTTCTGTGTAACTTACTGTGTTACTTCTGTGTAACTTACTGTGTTACTTCTGTGTAACTTACTGTGTTACTTCTGTGTAACTTACTGTGTTACTTCTGGGTAACCTACTGTGTTACTTCTGTGTAACTTACTGTGTTACTTCTGTGTAACCTACTGTGTTACTTCTGTGTAACCTACTGTGTTACTTCTGTGTAACTTACTGTGTTACTTCTGTGTAACTTACTGTGTTACTTCTGTGTAACTTACTGTGTTACTTCTGTGTAACCTACTGTGTTACTTCTGTGTAACCTACTGTGTTACTTCTGTGTAACTTACTGTGTTACTTCTGTGTAACTTACTGTGTTACTTCTGTGTAACTTACTGTGTTACTTCTGTGTAACCTGCTGTGTTACTTCTGTGTAACTTACTGTGTTACTTCTGTGTAACCTACTGTGTTACTTCTGTGTAACCTACTGTGTTACTTCTGTGTAACTTACTGTGTTACTTCTGTGTAACCTACTGTGTTACTTCTGTGTATCTTACTGTGTTACTTCTGTGTAACTTACTGTGTTGCTTCTGTGTAACCTACTGTGTTACTTCTGTGTAACTTACTGTGTTACTTCTGTGTAACTTACTGTGTTACTTCTGTGTAACCTACTGTGTTACTTCTGGGTAACCTACTGTGTTACTTCTGTGTAACCTTCTGTGTTACTTCTGTGTAACCTTCTGTGTTACTTCTGTGTAACCTTCTGTGTTACTTCTGTGTAACCTTCTGTGTTACTTCTGTGTAAACTTCTGTGTTACTTCTGTGTAATCTTCTGCATTACTTCTGTGTAACCTACTGTGTTATTTCTGTGTAACCTACTGTGTTACTTCTGTATAACCTACTGTGTTACTTCTGTGTAACCTACTGTGTTCTGTGTAAACGTGTGTTACTTCTGTGTAACCTGCGTTACTTCTGTGTAACCTTCTGTGTTACTTCTGTGTAAACTTCTGTGTTACTTCTGTGTAAACTTCTGTGTTACTTCTGTGTAATCTTCTGTGTTACTTCTGTGTAAACTTCTGTGTTACTTCTGTGTAAACTTCTGTGTTACTTCTGTGTAACCTTCTGTGTTACTTCTGTGTTACTTCTGTGTAATCTTCTGTGTTACTTCTGTGTAACCTACTGTGTTACTTCTGTGTAACCTTCTGTGTTACTTCTGTGTAACCTACTGTGTTACTTCTGTGTAACCTTCTGTGTTACTTCTGTGTTACTTCTGTGTAATCTTCTGTGTTACTTCTGTGTAACCTACTGTGTTACTTCTGTGTAACCTTCTGTGTTACTTCTGTGTAACCTTCTGTGTTACTTCTGTGTAACCTTCTGTGTTACTTCTGTGTAACCTACTGTGTTACTTCTGCATAAATGTCTGTGTTACTTCTGTGTAACCTACTGTGTTACTTCTGTGTAAACTTCTGTGTTACTTCTTTGTAAACTTCTGTGTTACTTCTGTGTAACTTTGTGTGAACTTTTGTCCAACAAGAAATATTTTTTTTCCTTTACGAGTAATGTCACTCATCAAGTAGTTGATGTTAAGTAATGTAAAGCAAAAGTAATGTAGCTAAGTAGTATTGTAAAGTAACATGAAGTTAAAGTAACAAAGTAAAGTAACCTAATGTTACAGTAATGTAAAGTTAACATAAAGTAACAGAGAGAGTAGTGTGTGTAAATTACCCTCCAGGATAACCCAAAGAAGTCAGTGGTTTATTTCCATTGTGGTCCTGTAATGTGATCCTGTTACATGTATTTGTTTAATGGATTAAACTGTGGTTTTGTTGGGATTGTTGGTTTTTAAAGGCTGTGGAAGGATTGGTTTGTCTTGACTTTTTTTGGGTTGTTCTAGGTTATTACGTGTACCTGAGCACAAGAAAGACGTGCTTCCTGTTTGCACTCGCATATTTACCCCATCTAATGTAAAACCCAGTCGGTGGTAAATCATGTAAACTATATTTCATCATATAAATCTGCCAATGACCAGCATTCAGTTGCTACCATATATTCTTCTTAAAATATACAGATGGCTGATGAGTGGCGGATAGCTAGCCTCAGCCAGACAATAGATGATGACGACGATGATGATGATGTGGCTGATCTGGTGCCCTCGACACCTGGACAGGAGGATATTGATATGGCGTCACCTTCACAGGACAGTGCCTCGTTACTTGGTGTCATGACAGAACAGCATGGGACAGGTACGTCAGCTGCAGTAATTCCTTGTTTGTGCATGCACATAAGTATAGCCTTGAAATTCAGACTCCTTAAAGCCAGGAGCTTCTCGAAAGGTAGATTTCACCCCCCCCCCAAAAAAAAAGAAAGTAAATGAAGAATACAGTGGACCCTCGGCCAACGATGGCATCGATTAACGATAAATCCAACTAGCGATACATTTTAACGCAAAATTTTTGCCTCGACTAGCGCTAAAAAACTCGACCAACACTATTAGTTCCGTCTGAGACGCGTCCACTTCTGGCCAGTGTTTACAAGCCAGCCAGCCACCGCAGTCGCTTCCAAGCATACAATCGGAACATTTCATATTATCACAGCCTTTTTAGTGATTGCACCTGCAAAATAAGTCACCATGGGCCCCAAGAAAACTTCTAGTGCCAACCCTACAGCAAAAAGGGTGAGAATTACTATGGATATGAAGAAAGAGATCATTGCTAAGTATGAAAGTGGAGTGCGTGTCTCTGAGCTGGCCAGGTTGTACACAAAACCCCAATCAACCATCGCTACTATTGTGGCCAAGAAAACGGCAATCAAGGAAGCTGTTCTTGCCAAAGGTGCAACTATGTTTTCGAAACTGAGATCGCAAGTACTCGAAGATGTTGAGAGACTGTTATTGGTGTGGGTAAACGAAAAACAGATAGCAGGAGATAGCATCTCTCAAGCGATCATATGTGAAAAGGCTAGGAAGTTGCATGACGATTTAATTAAAAAAATGCCAGCAACTAGTGGTGATGTGAGTGAATTTAAGGCCAGCAAAGGTTGGTTTGAGAGATTTAAAGGGAAGGGAAGTAACCCCGGAAAAGGACTTGCCACCTCAAGTCCTAATGGAAGGGGATTCCCCTTCTAAACACTAAGACCATCAACACTCTCCCCTCCTCCCATCCCATCAGTCATCACCAGATCTTCAATAAAGGTAAGTGTCATGTAACTGTGCATGTCTTCTTCAGTTTGTGTGTATTAAAATTAATATTTCATGTGGTAAAAACAATTTTTTTTTCATACTTTGGGGTGTCCTACACGGATTAATTTGATTTCCATTACAGTGGACCCCCGGTTAACGATTTTAATCCGTGCAAGAGGGCTCATCGTTATGCGAAATAATCGTTATGCGAATTAATTTTCCCCATAAGAAATAATGGAAATAAAATTAATCCGTGCAAGACGCCCAAAAGTATGAAAAAAAATTTTTTTTACCACATGAAATGTTAATTTTAATACACACAAACTGAAAAAGGCATGCACAATTACATGACACTTACTTTTATTGAAGATCTGGTGATGATTGATGGGATGGGAGGAGGGGAGAGCATTATCTTCTTACTGTTTAGAAGGGGAATCCCCTTCCATTAGGACTTGAGGTAGCAAGTCCTTTTCTGGGGTTACTTCCCTTCTTCTTTTAATGCCACTAGGACCAGCTTCAGAGTCACTGGACCTCTGTCGCACAACAAATCTGTCCATAGAGCTCTGTACCTCCCGTTTCTTCAAGACTTTCCTAAAATGGGCCATAACATTGTCATTGAAATAGTCACAAGCACGGCTTGCAACAGCTGTGTCAGGGTGATTTTCATCTATAAAGGTTTGCAGTTCAAACCACTCTGCACACATTTCCTTAATCTTTGAAGTAGGCACAATGGATTCCACAACTGGCATAGGCTTCTCAGGGTTAGCCCCAAACCCTTCAAAATCTTTCTTAATTTCCATACTAATTCTCACCCTTTTTACCACAGGGTTGGCACTAGAAGCTTTCTTGGGGCCCATGGTCACTTATTTTCCAGAAACACCACCGAAAACACTGTAATAATACGAAATATTCCGAGTGTATGCTTGGATGTTACCGCGGAGGCTGGCTGGTAAACAATGGGACGGCCGGCACATGTGAGGGCACATTGGACGCGTCTCGGACGAAAATCGGTATGCGGGTTTTTAATCGGTATGCGGGGCAAAAATTTTGCGATAAAAGTAATCGTTATGCGGAAAAATCGCTATGCGATGCCATCGTTATGCGGGGGTCCACTGTATTTCTTTTGGGGAAAATTAACTTGACTAACGATAATTTTGACTAACGATGAGCTCTCAGGAACGGATTAATAGCGTTAGTCGAGGGTCCACTGTATACATAAAGACTACAAATCACGGAACATTCAAGGTTTGAACACGTGGCGAGTGAATTGTAAAACTCCAGGCCAGTGTGTAAGCTACTGAGCCAGCTGGCTATAATAAGATTCATCCAGCTAGGTATATTTTTTATTGTAACCAGCTGGCCCAGTGGCTTATGCACTGGCCTGGAGTTGTATGACTCGCTCACCATGTGTTCAAATCTCACCTGTTCCATAGTTTATTTGCAATTGTGTTATTAGGATTTCATGAGTAGTAGATAGTCTACAGCATACACAAAAAATGGATGAAGAAAATAAGGTGTAGTACAGTACTCAGGACTATATGCAGCACCTGCTCTCTTCCATATAAACATTATACTCGGTCAAACTGTGTTAAGTTATTTCTAAAAAAAATTTCAACTTTTACAGTGCGTATAAAAATATAAATCCTGATTTATCACACACAGCCTTGTTATATGTGCTAGATCTATAATTCAGTAATTTTTAAGGTTTAGAATTAGTCTGCCCAAAATTCTTTGTAACAATGGGTTTTGATTAGAATGTGTAATAAAATATTGTCCTGAAACTAACCAACCTATAACTATACTAACTGTAAAACAATCCAGTGTTACTTTTTTTTAAACAAACACGCAATCTTTTATTTCCACAAGCTACGGTACATAGTTTTAAAATATTGATGATATTTGATAGTATCCATGGAGAGCTTTCTCATAAAACTAGTCTATATAGTGATTTTTGCAAATGTAATTGAAAAAAAATTACATCCAAAATTAAATAGCATGTGCTATGAAGGCCGTTCCATGTACTATTAAATTTTGTTGGACTTTAAGTTGCATTTACAAAGACACACTATGTAGGGAGTTTTATGAGAGATCTTTCTGTATGTACAATTCGAGTATTATTTAAGCACCTAATCTATAAACTTGCAATCAGATTACACTCCTTGCAGTTATGGATTTGTATGAATTATGTAAACTTGTGAGCACGTTGCATTCTTGTGTTCCAGTCTATGAAATAATTGCATTCCTGATGTTTCAACCTTTAAAAAAAATGCACCCCTGATGTTTCAGCTTCAGATTGAGTGGCATTCCTGGTATAGTATGTTGCTGACTGAGGAATGAGGTCCCTGGCAACTGCCTGGTTCCTCAGTGTACATGTGAACACAATTGTAATATTAAAATAGACATGGGGTAACTGCTGATGAGTGATATATGCAATCAGTAATAGATCTTCAGTTGTTTATTAGGTTTCTACGAAAAAAACATGCACTCTATGCATGAAATTTACGGATGTCTTCTCCTCGGCTTACTATGGAGTTATGTTCTGATGAACCTATCGGAAGTTGAAAGTATCCTAAGTCAAATGTGAATGATATGATAAATAACTATTGTCACTGAATAAGTAAATAAATAAATAAATATTGTAAATAAATGCAAGTACAGTGGACCCCCGGTTAACGATATTTTTTCATTCCAGAAGTATGTTCAGGTGCCAGTACTGACCGAATTTGTTCCCATAAGAAATATTGTGAAGTAGATTAGTCCATTTCAGACCCCCAAACATACACGTACAAACGCACTTACATAAATACACTTACATAATTGGTCGCATTCGGAGGTAATCGTTATGCGGGGGTCCACTGTATTGAAAAGTAAATAAATGAATACAAGTTTATCCAGTCAATAAATGTATAGTACTGCACAGTACAAAAAAAAAGCTTTAAAGTTTTATCACACCATCGTAAAGTCGAAATATTGTATGTCGAACCATATTAAAGCAAGGAGCATCTGTATTTAACTACTGATGCAGCTGGTAAACAATTGTGACAAACCATTCATATTTCAGCTTAATAAAATCATTATTATATACATGTAATCTTCAGTACCTTATGAATCTTTTCCTAAGCGACATGAACTCTCTGCACATTCAAAGGCTCCTCTATTTACATAGTCTTGTGTAATAGTCGTGTGCGAGTAGGACCTGCCTAGCATGGGCAAGTAAATCTACTCCAGTGCTTCTGTGTTCTTATGTTCAAAAAGTGTATGGACCAAGTGTATTTTTATCACAAATTACACTTTATGCTATTTTTTGGGTTTTTTTCAATACTTTTCTTATAAATTTTCAGCTTCTCTCTCCTATGTGAGGGTTATTTGTGTAATGTTTCACATTACAATTATTGAAGTCCTTTTAAAGTCCCTCAAACTCTAGGGTAGATTCGTATGTATATGAGATATACGAAAAATTAAACATCTTTTGGTAAAAAAGTGAAAGTGTTAGATTGCGTCCATAGTAGAGCACTTGGCTCTCTTCATCTCCTTGTAAAACTGTTGGATTTTTACTCTTCATGACCAATTAGAAAATTTGTTTTGTTTACAGGCTTCAGGAGTGGATTCGTCACAAGAATTTTACCCTCATCATATTGACAATGACTCAGGATTTACGATGTTTATTTTAACCCTTAAACGGTCCAAACAGATCGATGTTCAAATCCGTAGTGCTCCAAAAGTAGATGTACCTTTTTTTTACATATTTTCAAATATAACAAAAAAAAATGTAAATTAAAAGTTTTTTACACATTTTCAAATGTAAAACAAGAAAGAAGATTACATTTTTTACATACTTTCAAATGTTGAAAAAACGTATATATATATGTTTGGACCATTTAAGGGTTAAGTTAGATTGGGTTTGATTAGGTTAGAATGTTGTCTAACAATCAAAATTAACCAATTATAATATGCTACAACTCCAGTAAATGAAAATCAACATAAAATAATTAGTTTACATACATTAACAAAAAAGCGCACCATCATTCTCGCAGGAAAATGTATGTTGCTTTTCATTTTTTGGTGATGACTAGACAGTCGGACTTGAGTCCTGGAAATGGGAAGTACAATGCCTGCACGTTAAAGGAGGGGTTTGGGATATTGGCAGTTTGGAGGGATATGTTGTGTATCTTTATACGTATATACTTCTAAACTGTTGTATTCTGAGCACCTCTGCAAAAACAGTGATTGTGTGAGTGTGGTGAAAGTGTTGAATGATGATGAAAGCATTTTCTTTTTAGGGATTTTCTTTCTTTTTTGGGTCACCCTGCCTCGGTGGGAGACGGCTGACTTGTTGAAAAAAAAAAAAAAATAGACAGCAGTCTAGCCTAACTAAACCTAACGTAATTGAAGGTGATGTAAATTCAGTAATTTATTGTTAAGATGTGGGTAATATTCTGTGTAACTAGTTCACTGATGAAGCCTGTCCAGACAGTCAGTTTTTTTTATTGTAAATACGATAGTTGGAAAACTGACTGTTGCTGAAGAGGAAGGTTTGTTTTTCTCCGCTGATCAATCCTAGAGCGCTTGGCAGCACTCTAGGGTTGCGACATTTAAAATACATCATTCTTGTCTCGATTTTTGGAAAAAATCATTAGAAAGGTTTATAATGTTTTAAAAAAAGTATAGATTTTCTGGGCTGGACTGTAGTTTGTGCGGTATGCTCTAACCGTATTATAACATAGAATATTAGAACACTATTTCTGGTATAATACTTTCAGGCTCTGGATTTCATTTTTTTTTTTCTTTTGTTTCCCTACTTCAATTTTAGAATGATAAAGGAGGCTGTTGTAGGGAAAGTGAGTAGTGGCATTGTGTTGAGTGTGGAGATAGTGGTAGTTGTCATGCCATAGATCAGATGACCTCATTGTTGTTAATTTGAGCTTTCAATTGCAAATGCAACTCAAGAAGCAAGAGTGTGTAAAAATGTAGTTCCTCCTCAGTATTCTGTTTGTAGAATGTCTACAGAATATAAGGAATAAGTCACAGTGCCATGGCCGGAAAAATTCACAAATAACTCGTGGTCCAACAGATGTGTTTCCTCTCTTAAGTGCGGGTTGTTTGTGAATAAAGCATAACTCTAACTGAAAGGGTTAAAATAAGTTTTTTCCCTAATTTACCAACATGTCTTTCAGGTCGAAGAAAATTCCCCCCTGCTTTATCGCTTGGATTACCAGAAGATCCAGAGAATGAGTCTCTTCCTTTCTTGGCTCTAGAGTGGGATTCTCAGTTTCCAGTCACGCCTGCACAAGAGAACGGACATTCCTCGGATAATAATAATTTTCTGAAGAGAAAGGCAGTCTCTCAAGGTCTTAAAGATAATGGCTTAGCCAGTGAGAACTGCAATGGTCAGAGTGAGGCTGAAGCTGGTTGTTCAGCTCTGTGGGGCACCAGAAGTACAAGTATGTCCTCAGCATATTAAATTTCCTGCTTCTGCTCTGTTATAATTATAAATACACTGTATATATATATACAGCACTGTATATACACCTACCTTCAGATCTTCACGTATTTGGACTTCTCGAATTTGCTTCGACATACCTAATTAGGACCACTTTACTGTCCAAGTTGCCTTCCCTACTGGGTAGTATGCATAGTATACAACGAGAGTGCTCTCTGGTCTTACTTTATTTTGGTCATGGATCAGAAACTTATTTTTTTTTCACCAGCATGTGTTTATTTTATATTTTGTTGACCTCTTCCATTCTGCATCATGGTACCTAAATGCTCTGTTGATATTTAATCAAAAACTCCCACCGAGAAGTGTTTTCTTATGCTGGAAGTGCATATAAAGCTATCCAACAAATTGGAGCAAGGTAAATACATTCTAAGTATAATTCACAGCCACTATGTAAACAAGGTCACCAATTGCTCAATTAGGAAGATTGCAAACAAGATCAAGAAAGGTGTAAGTGGATCTACTTCACTTTTTGCCAAGTGTAGAAACTATGCACGAATCTGATAAAGATGGGAAATGTATTTTTGTAGTGACTGAAGGTTCAAAATTGGGGAAGATTCCCCATCAGCTTTCATCATTTATGTTACCTCTGATGAAGTGAGTTGATGGGTTCCCTGCTACAGAGGTGTTTTGAGCAAGTGTAGAACACCAGTTAATGGTTCTGGTGTAGTTTCCCCACTTCCTAGTCTTGAACCAGGCTGCTTAAACTGGAGAGGAATTATAGTATTACAGGATTAATATCTAGTATTAACCCTTAAACTGTCCAAACATAGATCTACGTTTGCTCGCATAGCGCTCCGAACGTAGATCTACTTTTTTTTACATGGTTTCTTGTAGAGAAAATCATGGTCGGAGCTCTACACGTGCAAACGTAGATCTATGTTTGGACAGTTTAAGGGTTAAGGAGCATGAAGGAAAGCACATTGTATACTGAATGTAGATAAAGCTTGTAAGATTTATCTGCTAGCTTCTATTATTTTGGATAGAACAGACTAGTAATCCTGAGAGAGTGCAAAGCTTTTGAAAGGCTTCTGTTTCACATTAGTTTCGTATTTTGTAAATAGCAATTTCTATCAGCAGCTAATCTTAAATAATCTACAGTGAATTAGTCTAAAGTGTAAATTCTTTGTTATAGACTTGTGGGGAAAGTCTGTGCAGGTCTGATTTTCAGTATGTGAGCAAAATGCTGCAACTGGAGTGTTTATCATATCCTTCAACTATAACAGTATTTATAGCTGGCTATGGCCAGACTGAAGATGAAACCAGTGTAGAAAAATGAGTAATATCATTAAAAGAATTATTGGTACTTGTCGGCATAGTTTGCCTACATATAGAATGTGCAGTAGGACTCCCATATCTGTGGGAGATGTGTTCCAAGTACCTGCTCTGGATGCCAAAACTGCGGATAGTAGCAAACCTTATACATGTATACAAGTCCTATACATACTTATTATGCACAGTAAGGAGAGAATCATCACTTTTTCACTGATGGGAAGCACTTCACGGCTTCTCTTAGGTTTTGGAGAACTGCCAGCTTCTCGACTTTTGTGCTTTGGGGCCAATGTTGTGCAAAATTAAGAGGTATTTTTGAGCCACAGTCAACAGTGGATAACTGAAACCGTGGATACCAAATCCATGGATACAGGGGTTCTACTGTACTGTATTTATCATGTCTGCTGTATCCCCACTTGAAGAGAAGAAAATGCATTCACTGTCAGAGGAGTACAGATGTGATTCAGTGATGGTCTGATTACCAGATCACCGTCATTTGTCTCAAACGTTTACTTCGCGTTCTTGTTGACTCCAAAACTCATTAATGGCTAATAATTTTCTCGAACTTCTTCACAAATATTACCATACTGAAACTTACATAAAATGTCAAACCCAGAAGCCAATGATATTTTTTTCCTTATAATGCTCATATTGTATTTCATTTTCATGTACTGTATTTGATTCATTTTCATGTATTTTTTTTCTTCATGTATTTTTGTGAATTTTATTTACTTGTTTTATTTTTGTAATCAATTTTCATGCACTTGATTTACTGTTTTGTTTTTAATGCTAATAGTTGATACTAAAAGAACCCCTGTAAAGAGTTTTTTTTTTTGGGGGGGGAGGGGGGTTATCCTAGGTAATTTTCACATGTATATTATTATTCAAGACAATTGTAATCATCCTAAGATTATGTAATTGTACATCAATAAACTTAAGCCATTCTCCTCCACTCTGATCAAACGTACTCACACCTACTTCTTGAATACTCAAGCCGCTACATCTCTATCTTTACAACTCGGTTCCATCCATCCCCAGATTTACGTATATTAATTCTCTTGCTGCATTTATTTTAAACGAACGAAAACCATCTCAACAACCAATTAATTCACTCTGAATATTTTCTTTTTTAACACATTGGCCATTTCCCACTGAAGTAGGGTGATCCAAAAAAGAAGAAACACTTTCATCGTCACTCACTCCATCACTGTCTTGCCAGAGGCATACTTATACTACAATTTGATATCACAACACCATTTTCTAATATTTTTTGCATAATATTCGTACTACACATGGTTCTTGGACACATTTTGACTGCTTTCAGCTGCCTCCTTGTTGCAATGTTCAAACACCATACTTTGCAGCCATACGTATGTCAGCACACTGCTGTGATACACCTCTTTCTGCATCCATTGACAAACTTCTTTTTTTTTCCAGATTCTTCAACACTCCTACTGTTTTTTCTCTCTTAAGTGAATCACCTCATCAACCATAGACTCACCTGCCACCACATCCACTTGCAAGTATCTAGATATATTCTCTCTCCTTACTAATTCCTTCTACTTTGACTTCTTCCTTTCACTCCTAGACTTCTTTCTTTCATTACCTTGCTCTTTTCTGGGCTTGCTTTCAACTATCTGCTTTTTACACTTACACTTACACTTACCACACACACACACACACACACACACACACACACAACCACACACACACACACACACACACACTCACACTCACACTCACCACTCTCACTCTCTCTCTCTTCTCTCCCCTTCTCATCTCTCTCTCTCTCTCTCTCTCCTCTCTCTCTCCTCTCTTCTCTCTCTCTCTCCTCTCTCTTCTCTCTCTCACTCTCTCTCTCTCTCTCTCTCACTCTCTCTCTCTCTCTCTCTCTCTCTCTCTCACTCTCACCTCTCACTCCCCTCTCTCTCTCACTCTCTCACTCTCTCACTCTCTCCTCTCTCCTCTCTCTCACACTACTCTCTCACCTCTCACTCTCTCACACTCTCTCCACTCTCTCACACTCTCTCACACTCTCCACTTTCACACTCTCACACTCTTCACACTCTCACTCTCTCTCACACTCTTCCCACTCACACTCTCACACTTCTCTCTCACCTCTCACACTCACACTCACTCTCACACTCTCTCTCACACTCTCTCTCACACTCTCTCTCACACTCTCACACTCTCTCTCACACTCTCACACTCTCTCATCACACTTCTCACACTCTCACTCTCACACACTCACACTCTTCACACTCTCTCTCACACCTCACACTCTCTCTCACACTCTCACACTCTCTCTCACCACTCTCACACACTCTCTCACACTCACAGTCCTCTCTCACACTCTCACACTCTCTCTCACACTCACACTCTCACACAACTCTCTCACACTCACACACACTCTCTCACACTCACACACTCTCTCACACTCTCTCACACTCTCTCACACTCTCTCACCACTCTCTCACACACTATCACACTCTCACACCTCACACTCTCTCACACTCTCACACACTCTCTCACACTCACACACACTCTCTCACACTCACACTCTCTCACACTCACACTCTCACACTCACACACTCACACTCTCTCTCACACTCACACTCTCTCACACACTCACTTCTAAATGCCACCACAAACTCTCGCAACTTCTCATTAAATTCTTCCCAAATAGCAAATAATTAATTTTTTTTATTTTACCACATTGGCTGTCATTCATCATGATAGGCTAACCCAAAAAAGGAAAAACATTCACCATCACTCATTGAATAGCTGTCTTGCCAGAGGTATGCAGGCATCACAGTTCAAATGGTCTTCTGAACTGCAGCTTCCCTACCCATCCTTTAGAGTATCTTATATGACTAAACCTCTTCTATAGTTTATAGTTTATATTTTTTATAACCCCTTCTAAAAAAACAGACAACCACAACTACAACACATATCACTGTCTAAGGTCTTTAGGTACTGGTAAATATTTCCCTTTTTTATGTATCCTAACCTTCATTTTTCTCATCTCAGATATTTTTCTTCAGCTTGTAAGTGTGCTAAATAATATATACACTTACTATACCTGCTATGTCACACCACCATCCACCCCTGTCACTTTTACAAAATAATCATGTGCAGCAATTGCCTATACCCTCTTGATAATTTCATGGTGGCTGTGGATGTCACTGAGTTCCACTTCAAATCTCCTGAAATTTCTCTTAACCCGTAAACGGTCCAAACATATATACGTTTTTTCAACATTTGAAAGTATGTAAAAAATGTAGATGTTCTTTTTGTTTTTTTTTTACATTTGAAAATATGTAAAAAAATGTAGATCTACTTTTGTAGCACTACACATGTGAACGTAGATCTGCTTGGACCATTTACGGGTTAATAACTAAAGTAAGGGTACTTTGAGGCTATTATAGCATTCCTTATTAATCAGTTGTTTGGTACTCGTGTTGGCTGGGATTAAACATTAAATATGATTTAACTGGCGCAGAGCTTACAAAGCAGTGTCCATGTAACTAAATAATTACCCCAAGATTTGTTTTAAAACATTGACTATGTATGACTTCCCTAAATACAGTATGCCCCATTGAAGGGCATATAGGCCCACAGGCTAACTAGCCAGACAAGAAGTTTTACTCTTGTCGAGTGCACTAGGCCAGGCCTGAGTTAGGTGGTGGACGAGAGTGTTGTGGGGTTGACAAGGATCAGTGCTTCATTACTCTTCATTAATTAGATGGCTTTGCTTACAGTAACCTAATCTTACTGATGATAATATTGATATTAGATATGTTGGTTTAAGGGATTCTGTATGCTTCCTATAGTTGTTGCCCTAGTGTCTTTATTAATGTAATTACAAAATACATGGTCATATTTTTGTGTTAACTGTTTTGCATATATGTTCATTGATATGATTACGGATAGCTGTGTTAAATATATTGGTAAATTAATCTTGTAACAGCCAAGTTTCAGCAACAATTATAACAGTTATCACTTAGGGGTTTAGATAATGCAGATGTTGCAACGATCTATCAACTCTGTAACGTACTCTAAGCTCACATTTTCCTTAACTCATTATATCTTCAACATCAGAATTGCTTTAATCACCTTGTCTTACCTGGATCTTCATTATATATTTGGCATCATAATTGCTTTAATCATCCTAACTTACCTGCCAGTTTGAGTTAGTTTTTTCATTATATACTTTAACCCTTAAAATTGTGGCATTCTAAATTCATGTGGCTTGATTGTTTAACATTTTTGCTGAAGTTTCTCTCGCTGCAAGTACCTTCAATTAATCATTTTGTTCAGTGTCCAGTTTTGTGTTGTCTAAGAGCTTGTCTTGGTGTATAGGTGAGGTGCAGCTTTAAGTAGCCCCTGTGGCTCTAAATGTAATAATGTAGGTGGGCTGAGTGTGCCTTATAGGAACTAGCTTAAGAGTTTGTCTTCAAGAGTTTAATGGTTGTAAGAGTTTGTCTGATAGTTCTAATAATGTTGGTATGTTTGTAGAATTACTGACAGTGTCAGGTACAAGGACATATGTTCAACTAATGTGATATTTTATTGTGGCAACCTTTTGCTCCTGGAGAGCAAAACGTTGCCACAGTAAAATGTCATGTTAGTTGCACGTGTGTTCTTTTACCTGTTTACGAGTTGTTGTATTTGTTGTCTTATTGTTTCTCTGTCTTGATAGTTGTTGTAATTGCTTTAATAGTTTGTCTTAATATTTGCAGGTGGGAGCGGTGTCGCTAGAGGATCTCGAGGGAATGGTGATGGAGAACATTCATCTGGAAGCAAAGAAAAGCTGAGTGATGGAACTAAGGGGGATAATATTGACGACGAAGGTGGAGGGGGCTCTGGAGGAGGAGGAGGAGGAGGAAGAGGGGACACGAAAGATAGAAGGGATGGAGAGGCTGGCGAGGGAGATGGTAATGGTAATGGTGATGGTAGTGAAGAAGAAAAGAGACGAGGGAAATGTGAGGAAGAAGAAAGTAGCCATGAACCATCAAGCGATTCTAGTGATGGGTACGTTGATTTTTTATTTCATTGGCAACTGTCAAGTTACATTAGTGTGATAACTTTATTTTGTAATAATGGTAGATTTACTGACAAAATTTTAGGGAAATGAAGACAGATGCAACTAATGTGATATTTTATTGTGGCAGTGTTTTACTCTAGGAGCTTTGTCAAGCTGTAATGGCTTGACAGAGCTCCTGGAGAGTGAAGCATTTCCACAATAAAATGTTAGTTGCATCTGTGTCCATTTAACTAACAACTTTATTATGTACCCCCATATTCTCTGTGTGGGTAGCAGTCACAACCGACCTGTTGTGTGGGCAGTAGTCCAGAGATTAGAGGCACATAATAGATCTAGGAACTGGCTCTTGACATAGCAAAACAAGTTACAATAGTACAGTGGAGTCTCGGTTTTCGTGGTTAATCCGTTCTAAAAAGTTTGACAAAAACAGAATCACACAAAAACTGAAGTAATATTTCCCATAAGAAATAATGTAAATCCAATTAATCCATTCCAGACACCCAAAAATATTAACAAAAAATACATTTTATAGAGAATATAGCTTTACATACAGAAAACAATGAGAAATAAATATAAATGGCTAATGAAATGGATAAATGAACATTTAACATCACTTTTACCTTTATTGAAGATGGCAAGGAGGGTAGAGGGAGGAGAGGTTATTATTTGGAAGAGGAATCCCCTTCCATAAGGACTTAGGTATCAAGGCGCTATCTGGGGTTACTTCCCTTCTTTGTCTTTTACTGGCACTAGGACCAGCTTGAGAATCACTGTACCCCTGTCTCACAAAAAATCTGTCCAGAGAGGTCTTTTTCTGGTGTTTCTTTAAGATTTGCCTAAAATGGGACAAAGCATTGTCATTGAACATGTTGCAGACACAGCTTGCAACAGCTGTGTTAGGGTGATATTTCTCCACAGAACTTTGCAACTCTCTCCACTTTGCACACATGTCCTTAATCATTGAAGAAGGAACATTCTTCCCTCTCTCTTCTTCCTTCTCCTCTGAAGCAATTTCCTCAGCTGCGGTCTGTTGCTGTTCCATTTGAAGGTCTTGCAGCTCTTCAGTGGTTAACTCTTCCCTGTGGTCATCCACCAACTCTTCCACATCCTGGCCACTCACATCCAACCCCCTGGACTTCCCCAAAGACACAATATTCTATCGTGTTTCTCACCTTCTTCGTCAAAGGACTGGCACTCGGAACTTTCTTTGGCCCCATGGTGGCTTGTTTAGCAGTTGCACTCAATAAACAAGCATGGTTTATTGAATCCTAGCATGGTTTTACAAAGGGGCATTCCTGCCTTACGAATTTACTAACTTTTTTCACCACGGTATTTGAGGAGGTAGATCATGGTAATGAATATGATAGTGTATAGACTTCAGTAAGGCTTTTGATAGAGTTCCACATCAGAGGTTATTGAGGAAAATTAAGGCACGGAATAGGAGAAATTTTTTCCTGGGTAGAGGCATGGTTGATAGATAGGCAGCAGAGAGTTTGCATCAGTTGGTAGAAATCAGACTGGGGGCACATCATGAGTGGTGTTCCACAAGGGTCAGTGCTGAGCACTTTAGTTGTTCACAATTTATATAAATAACATTGATGAGGGAATAAATAGCGACATAAGCAAGTTTGCTGATGATACCAAATTTTTTTTTTTTTTTTTTTTTCCAACAAGTCGGCCGTCTCCCACCGAGGCAGGGTGACCCAAAAAAAGAAAGAAAATCCCCAAAAAGAAAATGCTTTCATCATCATTCAACACTTTCACCACACTCGCACATTATCACTGTTTTTGCAGAGGTGCTCAGAATACAACAGTTTAGAAGCATATACGTATAAAGATACACAACATATCCCTCCAAACTGCCAATATCCCAAACCCCTCCTTTAAAGTGCAGGCATTGTACTTCCCATTTCTAGGACTCAAGTCCGCCTATATGAAAATAACCGGTTTCCCTGAATCCCTTCACTAAATATTACCCTGCTCACACTCCAACAGATTGTCAGGTCCCAAGTACCATTCGTCTCCATTCACTCCTATCTAACACGCTCACGCACGCTTGCTGGAAGTCCAAGCCCCTTGCCCATAAAACCACCTTTACCCCCTCTCTCCAACCCTTTCGAGGACGACCCCTACCCCGCCTTCCTTCCCCTATAGATTTATATGCTTTCCATGTCATTCTACTTTGATCCATTCTCTCTAAATGACCAAACCACCTCAACAACCCCTCTTCTGCCCTCTGACTAATACTTTTATTAACTCCACACCTTTTCCTAATTTCCACACTCTGAATTTTCTGCATAATATTTACACCACACATTGCCCTTAAACAGGACATCTCCACTGCCTCCAACCGTCTCCTCGCTGCTGCATTTACCACCCAAGCTTCACACCCATATAAGAGTGTTGGTACTACTATACTTTCATACATTCCCTTCTTTACCTCCATAGATAACGTTTTTTGACTCCACATATACCTCAACGCACCACTCACCTTTTTTCCCTCATCAATTCTATGATTAACCTCATCCTTCATAAATCCATCGTCTAATTCATTCAAATGAGGACATTAGAGCACTCGAGGAAGATTTGAATAGACTGATGCGGTGATTGGAAAAGTGGCAGATGCAGTTTAATATAGACAGATGCAAAGTTCTGAACATTGGATAAGAAAATAACCATTGCAAAAAGGATTTGGGAGTTGTGGTTAGCAGTAATCGAAAACCAAGACAACAGTGCTTAAGTGTTTGCAATAAAGCGAACAGAATCCTTGGCTTCATATCAAGGATCATAAATAATAGGAGTCCTCAGGTTGTTTTTCAACTCTATATATCTATGGTTAGGCCTCATTTAGATTATGCTGCACAGTTCTGGTCACCGTATTACAGAATGGGTATAAATGCACTGGAAAACATACAAAGGAGGATGACAAAGTTCTTCCCATGTATCAGAAATCTTCCCTATGAGGATAGACTGAGGCCCTGAATCTGCACTCTCTAGAAAGGTGTAGAATTAGGGGGGATATTATTGAGATGTATAAATGGAAAACAGGAATAAATAAAAGGAATATAAATAGTGTGCTAAAAATATCTACCCAGGACAGGACTCGCAGCAGTGGTTTTAAGTTGGAAAAAATCAGATTTAGGAAGAATATAGGAAAGCACTGGTTTGGTAATGGAGTTATGGACGAGTGGAACAAACTCTCATGTATCGTCATAGAAGCTAAGATGTTGGGTAGTTATAAAAATAGGTTGGATAAATACATGAGTGGGTGTGGTTGGGTGGGTGTGAGTTGAACCTGACTAGCTTGTGTTAATAGGTGTGATGCTGTGCCCTTTCCTTAAGTGGATGAGATGCATCTTGACTTGGTGGGTCGTTGGGTTAAGCTGGGAGGTGACTTGAACCTGCCTCGCATGGGCCAATAGGCCTGCTGCAGTGTTCAGTGACACTATCAACATCATCCCTACCCATCTTGCAATATTTGGGCACTTTGTCTCCCACCTTCAGAACTGGCTAACGTGTAAACTAAGTTGTGCATGTGACAGTTAGCTCTTGTTATTATCCTGAACATAAAATATATTTAAGTGGAGAATGTTTCTGGAAGCTTGGTAATATCTAATAACCTCGTACGCTTGGGAGCATTGCAGTGAGAACCTTTTTGTGTATCTCCCAAACTGGATAACAGGTTGCTAGTATCCTTCAGGAATTTGTTCATTCTTCTAAGTCTTGGTTAAAAACACATCTCTCTCCTTAGAGTTTATGCTTCTGTTTTGAACTTAGTGAATACTTTAAGGTTGAAGTATTGATAAGGTAAAGATCTTTCCTTCTATGATCATTTTTTAGCAGTTTTGTTAAAATGGTGATCATTATGATTTAAAGCCTACTTATACAGTGGACCCCCGGTTTTTGTCCGGTGCGGAAATCGTACAGTTCGGATTTTGAGCACTTTTTTCGGTGAAATTTTCCCCCGGGTTTCGTACATCCCCTCGGAATGGGATGCTGCTTCTCACGCGTACCAAACTCAGTCTGCCCCTCTCTCTTGTTGAGTTAGCAGTACTCCGCATGTTCATCCATTGTTTTTTGTGCTTGTTTATTGATTGCACCTGTGAAATAAGCCACCATGGGGCCAAAGAAAGTTCAGAGTGATAAGATAAGATTTCGTTCGGATTTTTAACCCCGGAGGGTTAGCCACCCAGGATAACCCAAGAAAGTCAGTGCGTCATCGAGGACTGTCTAACTTATTTCCATTGGGGTCCTTAATCTTGTCCCCCAGGATGCGACCCACACCAGTCGACTAACACCCAGGTACCTATTTGCTGCTAGGTGAACAGGACAATAGGTGTAAGGAAACGTGTCGAAATGTTTCCACCCGCCGGGAATCGAACCCGGGCCCTCCGTGTGTGAAGCGGGAGCTTTAGCCACCAGGCCACCGGGCCAACCCTTTCGTACAGAAGGTGAGAAACACGATAGAATTCAAGAAAGAACTCGTAGAATGAGTTGCAAAATTTTGTGGAGAAATAACACTACCACCCTCTACAAAGGTAGAGGGTGGTAGTGATTGTGGTAGAAGGCAGTAGTGATTGTGGTAGAGGGCAGTAGTGATTGTGGTAGAGGGTGGTAGTGATTGTGGTAGAGGGTGGTAGTGATTGTGGTTGAGGGTGGTAGTGATGGTAGTAGAGGGTGGTAGTGATGGTGGTAGAAGGTGGTAGTGATGGTAGAGGGTGGTAGTGATGGTAAACAATCGAAGATGTTGAGAAGTTGTTGTTGGTGTGGATCAACGAAAAACAGTAAGCGGGAAATAGTGCTGTGGAGGCGATAATTTGTGAAAAGGCAAGACAGTTGCATGCGGATCTCGTAAAGAATATGCCAACAAAGAGTCTTCAATAAATTTAAAACTGATTTAAATGTTCATTTATCCATTAAAATTTGTGCTTTATATTTATTTATTGTTTTTTGCATGTAAAACTATAGTTATTCTCTATAAAATGTATTTTTTGTTAATATTTTTGGGTGTCTGGAATGGGTTAAGTGGATTTGCATTATTTCTTATGGGAAACATTACTCCAGTTTTTGTCCATTTCAGATTTCAGTCGACCTTCTAGTATGGATTGAGGACGAAAACCGGGGTATTACTGTAATTATGTAATGTGTATCCTCAACTAACAATGGAAATTTTATTTTATATCATTTAAAACTGCACACTCTGAGTATTTGCTAATCATAACTCTTATAGGTTAACCTAAATTTCACAACTAACCCACAATATTTTACTGAGAAGTTGTCTAGTCACCAGAACTGATAGTCCCTGGTGAATGAAAGTCTTCTCAGTATACAGTGGACCCCCGCATAACGATTACCTCCAAATGTGACCAATTATGTAAGTGTATTTATGTAAGTGCGTTTGTACGTGTATGTTTGGGGGTCTGAAATGGACTAATCTACTTCACAATATTTCTTATGGGAACAAATTCGGTCAGTACTGGCACCTGAACATACTTCTGGAGTGAAAAAATATCGTTAACCGGGGGTCCACTGTAATGCCATAAACCACGTATTGTCTTAACATAATTATTGGTATGTGCTACCTTGGCTGTTCATAACCCACAAATTTGAGATGCCTAAATATGTAGAAGACTTGATAGGTGTACTGGACAGCTTGAAATATTGTGGTTGAAGATGTTTAAATCTATTTTTGTCAGGTTGTTTGGTACGCCTACTAACCAGAAGCAGAATGGAGCATCAGACAAAAAGTTTACTGCAGTGAGTTCTGTGATCCAGTTGGACTCACAGGAAGACAAGACTACCGGGAAGCATGTTGAGCTTGGTAAGTTATTTAGCTAGGGAAAGCAAAGCAAGTCAGAGGTCAGTTTGATCATGGGACATGATAAAAGATGGTAATGGACAAACTTTAACATGTTTTGCACACAGTGTTCTCTGTAGTAGCGGTACTGCTAGACTCTAAATTGTTTGGTTTATCAAAGAACGTTCTCAGCTTTTAACGTATTTACTGTACACACTTAATCCCCAGTTTGGAAAGGAAACTTTACTGACAGCTGCTGTAATTTGATGATAATTTTGAGACACCAGGAGGCACCTCAGGATTTGGGGTTGCGACAGTCAAGGGGTTAACAAATCAGCCGTCTCCCACCGAGGCAGGGTGACCCAGAAAGAAAGAAAATCCCCAAAAAGAAAATATTTTCATCATCATTCAGCACTTTCACCTCACACATAATTACTGTTTTTGCAGAGGTGCTTAGAATACAACAGTTTAGAAGCATATACGTTTAAAGATACACAACATATCCCTCCAAACTGCCAATATCCCAAACTCCATACATACATACATACATACAAGCATACATATACATACATACTGACCATCTCCCACTTATGTGGAGTGACCCAGAAAAAAAAAAACTTTCACCCTCTTTCACACGATCACTGTCTTGCCAGAGGTGACTTATTCTTTTATGTTTAATGTAATATGGTAATTGGAGATAATTGGTACAAAGCCAGCCAATGGAAAAAGGTACAAATGCAGAAAGGAACTTCATTAAATTTTGCTTATGGAACTTGTTGATTGAAGACTATTCCACAGGCAAAATGTCTTATAAAGTTCCTCTCTGTAATTGTCGTCTCCAGTGTTGTTGTACAAGGCTACACTCGATCCTTTAACCCTTTGGGAGTTTCGGCCGTACAAGTACGCCTTACGCCCGAGGGTTTTTGACGTACTAGTATGCCTAAATTCTAGCACCCTCAAATCTAGTGAGAGAAAGCTGGTAGGCCTACATATGAAAGAATGGGTCTATGTGGTCAGTGTGTGCAGTATAAAAGAAATCCTGCAGCACACAGTGCATAATGAGAAAAAAAAAACTTTGACCATGTTTTTGAAATAAAACAGCGACTTTGCACTGTATTTTCGTATAGTATTTATTGTTGTAGTCTAGTTTTCTTGGTCTCATTTTATAGAATGGAAGACATATTACAGAAATAGAGATGATTCTGACTGGTTTTACAATGAAAAATGCCTTGAAATTGAGCTGAAAGTAGCAGAAATGTTCGATTTTTACCGAAGTTCAAAAGTAAACAAATCATGCCAAGCGTCCAATACACGTCAACTAGTGAGTCTAATATTCTTTCACAAGTGCGCTGATATTATTTATACCATTTCTACACTAATGCAGTAGTCTGCATAACAGTAAATCTTCTATTTTTTGTTAGAAAAATTAAAAGTGGAAAGCCAAAGAAATATAAGAGGGGCCTGGGGATGTGACTAACGAACAGAGAACTTGTTATTTTAGTGCCAGGAATGTCTTTCTTGTTTATTCTGGACCCTATTTGGAAATTGGCATCTTTTGAAATTTGTGTGAAATTGGCAAAATTCTGACCACTTTATTGGATAGTTGAAATCGGTAAATGAGTGGTTTATTGTATTCATGCGATAGAAAAAAATAGAGTTCTAATGAAATAGGTATGATTTTTGTCAACTAGTACATTGGAATTGGCCAAAAATAGGGCTCAAAGTGGGCAAAATTGCCGATGCATAAACATCGTCGAGACCGCTAAATTCATGAGAGCATAATTCCGTAAGTTTTCCATCAAATTTCATACTTTTGGTGTCATTATGATCGGGAAAATATTCTCTATCTTTTCATAAGATTTTTTTTTTTTTTTTTTTTTTTTTTTTTTTTTTTTTTTGGAAATTTTTGCAACCCTGAGAACAAGTCTCTGAGAGGGCCTGGCGACCCCCAAAGGGTTAAGGGTGGAAATAATTTTCTGTAATTAAAAACTTGCTGCTTTCCAGTGTAGTCTTTTAACCCTTTGACTGTTTCAGGCCCCTCTCTGAAACTGTCATTCTATGTCGCTCAATTTTTGAAAAAAAAAATTATTTTTTCTTATGAAATGATAGAGAATCTTTTCCCGATGGTAATGACACCAAAAGTTCGAAATTTGGTCGAAAACTCGTGGAATTATGCTCCCGCGAAGTTAGCGGTCTCTGCGACATATGTGTATCGGCGATTTCGCCGACTTTGAGCCCTATTTTCAGCCAATTCCATTGTTCCAGTTGACCAAACTCATAGCTATTTCTTTAGAACTCCATTTTATCTATCAGCTGAGTACAAGAAACCTCCCATTTACTAATTTGGACTACCCAATATGGTGGTCAGAAATTGGCAATTTGGCCAATTTCACGCAAAATAAAAAAGATGCCAATTTCAAAATAGGGTCCAGAATAAACAAGGTAGACATTCATGGCACTAAAAATAACATATGCTCTGTTCATTAGTCACATCTCTAGGCCCCTCTATATTATTATTGCTTTCTATTTTGATTTTTTATTCATACAAAAAAATACAAAATTTACTGTTATGCAGACGACTGCATTATTGTAAAAATGGTATAAATAATATCAGTGCACTAGTGAAAGAATATTAGACTCCCCAGTTGACGTGTATTGGACGTGTGGTGTGATTTATTTACTCTTGAACATTGGTAAAAATCGAACATTTCCGCTACTTTGAGCTCAGTTTCAAGGTCGTTTTCATCGTAAAAGTAATGAAAATCATCTCTATTTCTGTAATAGGTTTTCCATTTTATCACCTAAGACCATGAAAACGCGAATACAACGATAAATACTATACGAAAATACACCTCAAAGTCGGCGTTTTATTCCAAAAAAACGATCAGTTTTTTTTTTCTCATTACGCAATGTGTGCTGCAGGATTTTTTTTATGTGGTGCACACTGACCACACAGACCCATTCTCTCACATGTGGGCCTACCAGCTTTCTCCCACTTGATTTGAAGCCGCTAGAATTATTGAGTATATATACGTCAGAAACATTGGCTCGTAAGACGTATTTATACGTCGAAAACAGTCAAAGGGTTAATAGACATTATAAGCATATTTATAGAACTTTAACTTAGACCTGTCTAAATTATGCACTTTTTTTTATAATTTTATCTATTAAACTTTTTTTTTTTTTCATTTAGTTTTGCCAGAAAGGAACAGACCTTTTGGGCCCAAACCAGGCTGTTTGTTTATGGATGGATTTAAGGCAGAGCAAACTATGTAAGTTGTGATTTAATGGGACTATATTTTGCCCATGTATGGTCGGTATTATGGTACTCTACTTCTATCACTTGATTTAAGAAGAAAAACAAATTTCCCTCTTTGTACTCAAATTGCTCACCTACCATTTAATTTTTTTTTTGTTTTCTTGCACGTTATATTGGATAAAAAATAGATAAATACAATACTTTCCTTAAAAATATTGAAATGGCATTCAGAATTAATTTGACCTCAGCACCTCAAATGCACTTGCTTAAAATGTTTGGCATTTCACTCTGATATACTTTTACACAATGAAGAGTTCAGTCATGCAGTAAAAATAGTATTGGTAGAAGCTTGTATGAATATTTTTGACAATCTTCAAATTATGTTGGAAAGGCAAAGAACATGGAGGGAAAAAATGGCATTACAAGCAGTGAAGGATGGCAAATGGTATTACAAGCAGTGAAGGATGGCAAATGGTATTACAAGCAGTGAAGGATGGCAAATTGGTATTACAAGCAGTGAAGGATGGCAAATGGTATTACAAGCAGTGAAGGATGGCAAATGGTATTACAAGCAGTGAAGGATGGCAAATGTATTACAAGCAGTGAAGGATGGCAAATGGTATTACAAGCAGTGAAGGATGGCAAATGGTATTACAAGCAGTGAAGGATGGCAAATGGTATTACAAGCAGTGAAGGATGGCAAATGGTATTACAAGCAGTGAAGGATGGCAAATGGATATTACAAGCAGTGAAGGATGGCAAATGGTATTACAAGCAGTGAAGGATGGCAAATGGTATTACAAGCAGTGAAGGATGGCAAATGGTATTACAAGCAGTGAAGGGTGGCAAATGGTATTACAAGCAGTGAAGGATGGCAAATGGTATTACAAGCAGTGAAGGATGGCAAATGGTATTACAAGCAGTGAAGGGTGGCAAATGGTATTACAAGCTGTGAAGGATGGCAAATGGTATTACAAGCAGTGAAGGATGGCAAATGGTATTACAAGCAGTGAAGGGTGGCAAATGGTATTACAAGCAGTGAAGGATGGCAAATGGCATTACAAGCAGTGAAGGATGGCAAATGGTATTACAAGCAGTGAAGGATGGCAAATGGTATTACAAGCAGTGAAGGATGGCAAATGGTATTACAAGCAGTGAAGGGTGGCAAATGGCTTTACAAGTGAAGGATAGCAAATGGCATTACAAGTGAAGGATAGCAAATGGCATTACAAGTGAAGGATAGCAAATGGCATTACAAGTGAAGGATAGCAAATGGCATTACAAGTGAAGGATAGCAAATGGCATTACAAGTGAAGGATAGCAAATGGCATTACAAGTAGTGAAGGATGGCAAATGGCATTACAAGCAGTGAAGGATGGCAAATGGCATTACAAGTGAAGGATAGCAAATGGCATTACAAGTAGTGAAGGATGGCAAATGGTATTACAAGCAGTGAAGGATGGCAAATGGCATTACAAGTGAAGGATAGTAAATGGCATTACAAGTGAATAATAGCAAATGGCATTACAAGTGAAGGATAGCAAATGGTATTACAAGTGAAGGATGGCAAATGGCATTACAAGTGAATAATAGCAAATGGCATTACAAGTGAAGGATAGCAAATGGCATTACAAGCAGTGAAGGATAGCAAATGGCATTACAAGTGAAGGATAGTAAATGGCATTACAAGTGAAGGATGGCAAATGGCATTACAAGTGAAGGATAGCAAATGGCATTACAAGTGAAGGATAGTAAATGGCATTACAAGTGAATGATAGCAAATGGCATTACAAGTGAAGGATAGTAAATGGCATTACAAGTGAATGATAGCAAATGGCATTACAAGTGAAGGATAGCAAATGGCATTACAAGCAGTGAAGGATAGCAAATGGCATTACAAGCAGTGAAGGATAGCAAATGGCATTACAAGTGAAGGATAGCAAATGGCATTACAAGCAGTGAAGGATAGCAAATGGCATTACAAGTGAAGGATAGCAAATGGCATTACAAGTGAAGGATAGCAAATGGCATTACAAGTGAAGTATAGCAAATGGCATTACAAGTGAAGTATAGCAAATGGCATTACAAGTGAAGGATGGCAAATGGCATTACAAGTGAAGTATAGCAAATGGCATTACAAGTGAAGGATAGCAAATGGCATTACAAGTGAAGGATGGCAAATGGCATTACAAGTGAAGGATAGCAAATGGCATTACAAGTGAAGTATAGCAAATGGCATTACAAGTGAAGGATGGCAAATGGCATTACAAGTGAAGTATAGCAAATGGCATTACAAGTGAAGGATGGCAAATGGCATTACAAGTGAAGGATAGCAAATGGCATTACAAGTGAAGGATGGCAAATGGCATTACAAGTGAAGGATAGCAAATGGCATTACAAGTGAAGGATAGCAAATGACATTACAAGTGAAAGATAGCAAATGGCATTACAAGTGAAGGATAGTAAATGGCATTACAAGTGAAGGATAGCAAATGGCATTACAAGTGAAGGATAGCAAATGGCATTACAAGTGAAGGATAGCAAATGGCATTACAAGTGAAGGATAGTAAATGGCATTACAAGTGAAGGATAGCAAATGGCATTACAAGTGAAGGATAGCAAATGGCATTACAAGTAAAGGATAGCAAATGGTATTACAAGTGAAGGATAACTGGTATTACAAGTGAAGGATATCAACTGGTATTACAAGCAGTGAAGGATAGCAAATGGCATTACAAGTGAAGAATAGCAAATGGCATTACAAGTGAAGGATAGCAAATGGCATTACAAGTGAAGGATAGCAAATGGCATTACAAGTGAAGGATAGCAAATGGCATAACAAGCAGTGAAGGATAGCAAATGAAAAAATTTGACTCGTCAGAAACTTTGCTGAAGAGAAGTATTTTTGGATGAATAGAAATAGGTCAAGAAAACCCCATAACTGTATGGACTTAACAGCTGTTAATTAACCCTTTGGGGGTTTCGGCCGTACTAGTACGGCTTACGCCCCAGGGATTTTGACATACTAGTATGCCTAAATTCTAGCGCCCTCAAATCTAGTGAGAGAAAGCTGGTAGGCCTACATATGAAAGAATGGGTCTATGTGGTCAGTGTGTGCAGTATAAAAAAAATCCTGCAGCACACAGTGCATAATGAGAAAAAACTTGGACTATGTTTTTGAAATAAAACAGCGACTTTGCACTGTATTTTCGTATAGTATTTATTGTTGTAGTCTAGTTTTCTTGGTCTCATTTTATAGAATGGAAGACATGTTACAGAAATAGAGATGATTCTGACTGGTTTTACAATGAAAAATGCCTTGAAATTGAGCTGAAATAGCAGAAATGTTCGATTTTTACCAAAGTTCAAAAGTAAACAAATCATGCCAAGCGTCCAATACACGTCAACTAGTGAGTCTAATATTCTTTCACAAGTGCGCTGATATTATTTATACCATTTCTACACTAATGCAGTAGTCTGCATAACAGTAAATCTTCTATTTTTTGTTAGAAAAATTAAAAGTGGAAAGCCAAAGAAATATAAGAGGGGCCTGGGGATGTGACTAACGAACAGAGAACTTGTTATTTTAGTGCCAGGAATGTCTTTCTTGTTTATTCTGGACCCTATTTGGAAATTGGCATCTTTTGAAATTTGTGTGAAACTGGCAAAATTGCTAAATTCTGACCACTTTATTGGATAGTTGAAATCAGTAAATGAGTGGTTTCTTGTACAGTGGACCCCCGCATAACGATATTAATCCGTTCCTCAGAGCTCATTGTTATGCGAAATTATCGTTATGCGAATGAATTTTCCCCATAAGAAATAATGGAAATCAAATTAATCCGTGCAAGACACCCCAAAGTATGAAAAAAAAAACATTTTTACCACATGAAATATTAATTTTAATACACACAAACTGAAAAAGGCATGCACAGTTACATGACACTTACCTTTATTGAAGATCTTGTGATGATTGATGGGATGGGAGGAGGAGAGAGTCTTAGTGTTTAGAAGGGGAATCCCCTTCCATTAAGACTTGAGGTGTCAAGTCCTTTTCTGGGGTTACTTCCCTACTTCTTTTAATGCCACTAGGACCAGCTTCAGAGTCACTGGACTTCTGTCGCACAACATATCTGTCCATAGTGGCCTGTACCTCTTGTTCCTTTATGACTTCCCTAAAGTGTTTCACAACAGTGTCAGTGTAATAGTCACCAGCACGGCTTGCAATAGCTGTGTTAGGGTTATTGTCATCAAAAAAGGTTTGCACTTTAAGCCACATTCCACACATTTCCTTAATCTTTGAAGTAGGCAACTTCTTCAATTTCTCTCTCCCCTCCTCCGAACCAGTTTCCTCAGGTCTGGCCTCTTGCTGTTGAAGTTGATCTAGCAGCTCATCAGTGGTTAGTTCTTCATTGTCCTCCTCCACCAACTCTTCCACATCATCCCCACTAACCTCCAACCCCAAGGACTTTCCCAATGCCACAATGGATTCCTCAACTGGCATACTCCTCTCAGGGTTAGCCTGAAACCCTTCAAAATCCCTTTGGTCTACACATTCTGGCCACAGTTTCTTCCAAGCAGAGTTCAAGGTCCTCTTAGTCACTCCCTCCCAAGCCTTACCTATAAGGTTTACACAATTGAGGATATTAAAGTGCTCTCTCCAAAACTCTTAGAGTCAGTTGAGTTTCTGAGGTCACTACAAAGCACCTTTCAAACAGAGCTTTTGTGTACAGTTTTTTTGAAGTTTGCAATAACCTGCTGGTCCATGGGCTGCAGGAGAGGAGTGGTATTAGGAGGCAAAAACTTCACCTTAATGAAGCTCATGTCCCCATAAAGTCACTCTGCCACATCTGTAGGATGACCAGGGGCATTGTCTAACTCCAGGAGGCACTTAAGGTCTAATTTCTTTTCAGTTAGGTAATCTTTCACATTGGGGGCAAATGCATGGTGTAACCAGCCATAGAAAAAGTCCCTAGTGACCCATGCCTTACTGTTTGCCCTCCACAGCACACACAAATTAGCCTTGAGGATATTCTTTTGCCTGAACGCTCTGGGAGTTTCTGAGTGATACACTAATAAAGGCTTCACTTTGCAATCACCACTAGCATTGGAACACATCAACAGAGTAAGCCTGTCTTTCATAGGCTTATGTCCTGGGAGTGCCTTTTCCTCCTGAGTAATGTAGGTCCTGCTTGGCATTTTCTTCCAAAACAGGCCTGTTTCATCACAATTAAACACTTGCCGCTTTTTTCCCTCGTCAATTGTACGATTCACCTCATCTTTCAGGGACCTATCTGCCAACAAATCCACTCCCAAATATCTAAACACATTCACTTCCTCCATACTTCCTCCCTCCACTCTGATACCCAGTCTTTCATTCCCTAAATTTTTGTTTCTCTCATCACCTTGCTCTTTATTGTATTCATGTTGTATTTCCTCCTTTTCAACACCCCTCCAAACTCATCCACCAACCTTTGCAACTTTGCAACATATACACCCTAAAAACTTCTTTTCCAGAAAGCGATAATGATGTGGTTAGCTCTCAAGAAGACGTCATTCCAAGTCAAAAAATAAAAGCAACATTAGCTAAGCCTCCGCAAGTGGAACACCAGCCATTGGGTAATGTGTTGATTTGTTCTATAAAATGTTAAGGATTTATAAACTGGAAGAACTATAAATTACTAAATGTTAAAAGAAGAAACACTGGAAAAAATGTATCAGTGTATACCAGTGTTATTCACTAATTTTTGCAAGAGAGCCACTTCGGTTAAACACAATGATTGAGAGAGCCGCAGCTACTGCAAGTTAGCGTAACTCAACTAAATTAAGTAGTACTGAGCTGCTAGTGCAATACATGTATAGTAAATGAGAAAAATTAGACATGGTAATATTAGCCTGCATATCTTGTTATTAATAGTGGCTCGCAAGCCGCTGGCGGCTCGCGAGTCGCGCAATGAATACCACTGGTGTATACCAAAAAAAAAATCCTAAAATAGATCATTTAGTGTTTTGTGCTTTAATTCAGGTTTTTTTTTTTTTTTTTTTTTTTGTTTTTTTTTTTGTTTGTTTTTTGTCCAAGCTTTGTGTTTAACCTATTTTTCAATTAAATCGAACAGGTTGCATTTCTAGATGTTATTAATTGAAGGTACATAGGTGAACATTTCACCTTTATTTGACCTTTCCAGTTTTAATGTAATATTTATTTTTCCATGCTTTAGTTTGAACTATTTTGGTACTCTGCTCGTCAATTACACTGCTACCCTTTATAATTCATTGCATATGATTAATGTGGAGTAATACTATATCTGCTCTCTTGTGCAAAGTATATTGTAACCTAGATTTTCTCTTACATAAATAAAATATGCTATAAAAGAATATGGGAATTGATAATAAAGGATGATAGATGGGTAGAAAGTAATTATCTATGAATGTATGTACCACCATCCTGTAATACAAGAGTGTAAAGAAATCATGTTAAATATTTTTCATTGGCATTATTGATGGTGTTTTTGCCTACTGAATACATGAGATGACAGGTAAATCGTACTAAGTTGTACATTTTACCTGCACTAATTATACACTTCTTTATGAAAAATAGGGAGTTAAAAAATAATGTATGGAGAATGCTTAATATATAGCCTAGGCTGAGACCATGTTTCTTCAGGCGAGGGTATACTTCCCAAGGCTCTGACTCCGGCTGTCTCCATTCCTGTACTTGAACTGTCTCAGGAGGAAGAGGAGGAGGAGGAGGAGGACTATATCCCTCCTTCAGTAAAGTAAGTGTTTGCTTTGTTTACTAGTCTCCATTATAACTGCCTGAGCTCTCCTTCAAAACCTCGGGAAAATGAAGTCTTAATGTATTGTCAAGTAAACCTGCATGGAGAAAATGAAAATGAAGATAGTGCTGTCTGTCTCAACCTACACCTGAAGTCTTCTTTATCAGACTGTTGCAGGCTGAATATACTGTACTCATACCATCTATTCCATTTTCTTCATGGGGGTTCACATGGAGAAAATTTACCAGCAGTTTTATTAAATGTGTCCTTGAGTAACTATATTTGTTTTCCATTACTTGCAGGTATCGTGTATCAATATACCCACTTTGGTGTTTAGTATTTGTAGTACAGTGGAACCTCGAGTTTCAAACTTAATCCGTTCCAGGAGCTAGTTCTAAAGTCGAAATGTTCGAAACTCTTAGCAATATTTCCCATAAGAAATAATGTAAAGACAATTAATCCATTCCAGAAACGTAAAAATATTCACAAAAAAAAAATACATTTTATAGAGATTAATTAGTTTTACATACAACAAACATACATAGTATGATTAGTAATAGATAAATAAACATTTTGTAGGTAGGTTGGTAGACAGCAACCGCCCAGGGAGGTACTACCGTCCTGCCAAGTGAGTGTAAAACAGAATTTTGTAATTGTTTTACATGATGGTAGGATTGTTGGTGTCTTTTTTCTGTATCTTAAACATGCAAGATTTCAGGTACGTCTTGCTACTTCTACTTACACTTAGGTCACACTACACGTACATGTTTTCTTCTATTTTCTTTCTAGTTCTTGTTCTTGTTTATTTCCTCTTATCTCCATGGGGAATTGGAACAGAATTCCTCCTCCGTAAGCCATGCGTGTTGTAAGAGGCGACTAAAATGCCGGGAGCAAGGGCCTAGTAACCCCTTCTCCTGTATAAATTACTAAATTTAAAAAGAGAAACTTAAGGTTTTATTTTTGGGCCACCTACCATCCGACTTACGACCAAGTTCGGTTCCGAGAAACCGGTCGTAAGTCGAAATGGTCGTAAGTCGAACTTTACTACTGAATATCAACAAAACATTTTTTTAATGACTTTATTGTATTGTTTTATTTTGGTATTTCATGTTTTACTTTACTTTTTATGCTGTTAGTACTGTATTTTATACTGTAAGGTTTAGGATAAACACTGTGTACAACACAAATAGTTGTTTATTTCCCAGAAATTTGGCATAAAAAACACGGTCGTAAGTCGAGTGGTCGTAAGTCGAGTGGTCGTAAGTCGAGCAGGTCGTAAGTCGGATGGTAGGTGTAAACATATAAAATAACATTTTTACTTACCTTTATTGAAGATTGTTGATGGTATCAGGAAGATAGGGAGGAGGAGTGAGGGAGCACTTATTGTTTGGAAGGGTAATCCCCTTCCATAAAGACTTTAGGTAACAAGTCCTTATCTGGGGTTACTTCTCTTCTTTAAAATTTCCCTAAAATGGGACAGGTTCTGTCACTGAACTTGTTGCAGTGATGGCTTGTTTCAGCTTGCTCAGGGTGATATTTTTCAGCAAATGCCTGCAAAGGCCTGGTCTCAGACCGGGCCGCAGGAGCATTGACCCCCGAAACCCTCTCCAGGTAAACTCCAGGTAAACCCTATTCCACAGTGCACAAATCTCCTTAATCTCTGAAGAAGGCACCATCCACCACCACCACCGTCTGCCAATACCATCCACCATCCATCACCACCATCCACCATCACCACCATCCACCATCACCACCATCCACCATCACCACCATCCACCATCACCACCATCCACCATCACCACCATCTACCATCACCACCATCCACCAATACCATCCACCGTACCACCATCCACCGTACCACCATCCACCGTGCCACCATCCACCGTGCCACCATCCACCGTGCCACCATCCACCGTGCCACCATCCACCGTGCCACCATCCACCGTGCCACCATCCACCGTGCCACCATCCACCGTGCCACCATCCACCGTGCCACCATCCACCGTGCCACCATCCACCAATTCCACCATCCACCAATACCACCATCTACCAGTACCATCCACCACCACCATGGTAGCTTATTTCACAATTGCACTTAAACAAGCACCAGACACAATGAATTAACTGTGAAATGTTTAAATGAGTTTGCAGGTTAGTGTTCATTCAAGCATAAAGAAAGCCAGACTGGCTCACGGCGCCTACGTGGGCAGGCGGACAGGTCTGGTACTCAGTAGTTCGAAACACAAGGCGCGTTTGATACTCGGAACAAAATTGGTTCGAGAAAAGCGGTCGAAACTCAAAGTGTTCGATAGTTGATACGTTTGAAACTCGGGGTTTCACTCTATTTTCTCTTAGGAAATATTTCAATTTTCTTAAGAAAATGGCTGACAGTTTGTTATTCATAATGAACTGCATATTTTGTTTATAGGCAACTATCCCTAAAATATTGCAATCAGTATTTTTCCAATTTACCAGATTCCTAATTTTTTTGTTGGGTATTTAAAAGGTAGAAAAATTCAAAGTTCAACGTAAGTTGAAATTTATCTACATTCTTTTACTATTTGCAAAGATCTCATTCAAAATTGTTTGAGCATAAGATGTACATCTAATTTTAACTACTGTCTACAGGTTTGCTGGGGATACTCCGTCATCAAGTACAGCAGCTGATTCTGTACCCACACTCCCTTGCCCAAGTTATTCTTCCATAACTGCCCAGCCAAAGTCTCCAGGGTCATCACCCACTAAGAGAAAGAGAGAGGAGCTGGAGGATTCTGCAGCTGAAGAAAATCCCTCCCAGATCCCATTGAAAGTTCGCCGAACTGAGGATGCCACTGAAACAAGCGAGTCTGGTGATGATAAGGTGGTTGTAGATTACTCATCACTCACACACAAAGATGTAGAAATTAGTCCAAAACAACAGAAACAACCACCCAGGATAGGAAAACCACCACATCTTACTGGCATTGCCAAATCCATCACTTTTAAGACAAGTAGCGTTGAAAAGGTTGAATCTGCTTGCCTCCGTACTGATGCAGAGGAGAGCAGTGAGCAGGAAGACAAGGAAAAACCTCAGAGGCATTTCCTTGTTGAGGAGGAAAGTAACGTGCAAGAAAGAAAAGACTTTCCAAGACGACTTCCCATTGACACTGAAGAGGAAAGTAGTAGCCATGAAGAGAGTAAAGACTTGCCACAAAGAATGAACATTTGTACAGGAAATAGTAGCGATAGTAGACTGACATTTGCCAGAAGATCCATTCCTATGCCAGTCAGGATGCAGAGCTCACCGGAAGATGATTCTCAGTTATCTGATAAGGATGATAGTGATATAGAGATTATTGAAGATAAGGATCGTAGTGTAGAGGTCATCTATGAAAAACAGTCGAGAGCAAGATTGCAGGATGAAGTGGGCTCACAAGAATTCAGTTTAATGTTGAGTTGCACACAGTCAGAATCACATTACACTGATGAAGCAAGCCAAAGATTCTCCAAAGAAATGTTTTCAGAACCTCTAATGGAAAAAGAGTCACAGAGCCTTCTTCCAATGTCAGAGTCTGAGCACCTTAAATGCCACGACACACTATCAAGTAGCGATGAAGATACTCGAAAAGGTGACCAAAGTATCATTGGGAGTATGCCTGCTACCCAGCTTGAAAGAATATGCAAACCAGCACTCCTCACTCAGCCAGATATTGGCCCATTGATCTCCTTACCCATTTCAGGTTCTTCGGAAAGCCAGGAGGTGGAAATGACAGAAGGTAGCAAAGATGAAGTTAAGCCCCTAGAAAAGGTAACACTCAGTGGAGGCACAGTACAAAGTAGCACTGTAGATGTGTTACCCATATTAAGCTCTCCCTCAGCGCCAGTTGAATCACGACTTCAGATGCCTGATATATGCACACCGTCATCTCAAGACAATCAAGGATCACAGGAAAGTGAATCTGTGTTTGTAAAAGCTTCAAAGGCAGCTAGAGAAAGAATTCAAATGGAAGAGAAAAGGATTGACGAGAAGACAAAAGGTATTTCAAGAGAAAGCTCCTTTGAACAAATAGAAACCAGTGTAAAAGATCATGATATTAAGCTAACAGACAAATCCATTAAGAGTTTTAGTCTTGTAAAAGAAAGCTCCTCTACTCCATCCACACCAGTAAGTGGTTTGGCGTCTTCCCTCTCCTCACAGTCGACTCCAGTCACTAATCAGCCTCACCATAGGTCTTCACAGGGCACTACCTTATTCTCATCAGGAGACCAAAAAACCACACACATCCCAAGTACCGCTCAAGGCACACCTGATGTTCTGGCAGATGAAACAGACAGTGAGGATGAAGGTCCCTTGCATAGAAAACGAAAAAAGCTTGGTCTTTCAATAAAAGCTAAGCAACCATTAGAAAAATTATCCAAGTCTATATCTGATCAAAGGAAAACCTCAACCCCAAACACAAGTCAAGGTATCAGTCCAAATATTTCTGGTGAAGGTACCAGTTACATTGACAAGGAGGTTCAAGGAGGAGAAACTTGTAAATCACGAAACATATCACCAGGAGAAGGTATTGCAAATGTGAAATCTTTATTAGTAGTCGGGTCACCAGACAGAGAGAAAGGCAGCCCAGAAGTTATTTCCTCACCAAAAGGAGGTACAGGCACCCCAGATACAGAACTTCTACCTGATTCTAACACAATATTCACATTTGAGGACTTGGTGAAAGCAGGTTATGTTGAATCTCGACGTTTTGATTCTGCAATACTGGCTGAGTACATCCATCCATTAACTAAAGAAATAATGAATGTAATTTTTGAAGGAGATAGGGTAGCAGTCTCAAAACTAAATTTTCAGTCATTAACTGAAATTGGAAGTGGAAGTAGTGGAAGTCGTAGTGGTAGGGTATCAGATACAAGCAACGTTTCTCGAAGTACAGGCTCAGGATACTTTGGAGACAAGAGTTCCTCCTCATCCAACTCATCACGTCGCATTTCTATGATGTCTACCACTGAATCTTCAAGACTATCCATTGCAAGCGTCCTCACACTGCCATCTCCACCACGTGTACCAGAGACTAAGGATGCAGCATCTCAGAAGAACATTTCTGAGGATGGAAATTTTGCTATTCCTGCAGCACGTCCTAAAGGTCAGGCTAGTGGGAGGGAAGTAGACACCATTTCAAAGTCGCCTGAAAAACTTCCTTATTATTCTCCATCGAAGATGAAAGAATTACCTAAATATGTAAGTTCCAAGAATATGGAATCTGCAGTATCTAGTAGTGATGAAATGATAGAAGCAATAGAGCACAGAGGTAGAGGAAGGGTGCATGGCCGTCCTCGCAGTCGTGGCAGCAAACGGGGAGGTAACCATGGAACTTCAAGAAGTACTCCGGGAAGGGGCAGGGGACGAGGTCGAGGGAGAGGGAGAGCCACACTAAACAAACCACCTCCTCAGTTAGATGAAGATAATGACTATGATGAGGAATCTCCAGAAGATATTCAGCCTATGACTGGTACTGTATTAACTGATACAGCTGAAAAAAAACTGGTCACGAAAGGGGCCGATCCTGTTTCAGACCTGTTTGATTCTCTCCCATCTAACGTATGGAAAATGCTGGAGAACTCTCAGGTTCCGCTATCAGAAGAAGAGGAAGAAGCATTTGTTGGACAAGGGGGCACAGATGCAGAGAGGCAGCTAGCTCAAGTTTTAAAAAGAGTTCGAGAAGTTGAGTTGCAGGCAGGATTATTAGTGTTTGCCAGATTCACTGATAATAACTTTTATTCTGCCGTGTTGAAAGAACGGGATGGTGCTGATCGGTGGCATGTGCAGTTTACATTAGACCAGCATACAGCTTCAGTAAGGGAGGTATATTTGTTACCCACAGACCTATTGCCAAGGGGACAAACTTGTCATGTACGTCAGAAAACTGAGCATTACTGTGACTCTGGGGTCGTGATAGGCCATGTTCGTGTTGGAGCAACAGTGTTACACATAGTGGAAACTGATCGTGGAGTAACTCAGCGTGTACCACACTCGCACCTTCTGCTCACAAGCCCACAGGCACAGGTTATTCTGCAAGCACGATTGGCTTTCCGTTCATTAGTTGCATCTCCTGGTAGAGACATATCTTTAGATAATATTGTTGCTGGTAGACGAAGGCGGATACAACCTGAACAGTTTCCATCTCCACGTTCAAAAAAGGTTGATGACAATCTTGATACCAGTGATGCCACGGCTGGTGAATCAGAAGAATTTGTTTCTTTCTCTGGTAGATCCCTGGGCTCCAGAAAAGCTGCTGCTAAAGGTTCCAAAACTGCCAAAAAACAGGATTTAGCTGTAGTGTCTGAGGAGAGTGGTAGTGATACTGAAGCTATTCCAGTAAAAAGTCCACCCAAGGGACGAAAACGTCCTGCCACTCCTCGAACGCCTCGCACTCCTCGAACGCCCCGCACTCCTCGAACAGCTCGTACTAGTCAAACCGCAGGAGTAACTTCCAGTGGTTCAACTTTGGAGAAAGAGATTATAAGCAGCAGATTATTAGAAGATCTTCCCTTACAAGTAACAGCGCTCCAGACAAGTGAAACGCCTCTTACACCACCAAAGAAACGTGGTCGGCAGCCAGGTACTTTGCTAGTTATTTACTTCTTATCCCCAATTAAAAATTTATCAGTATTCTGTGTTTTAACCCTTTCAGGGTCCGTCCCGTAGATCTACGGCTTTACGTTCAGGGTCCAAACCGTAGATCTACGTCATGAGCTCAGCTCACTCTGATAAAGTGTGAGTGGCACATTTGGGCCTAGATATGAGAGAATACATGTATGTGGTATGTGTGCACCACATAAAACAAATCCTGCAGCACTCTGTGTATAATGAGAGAAAAAACTGAGACCATGATTTTCGATTAAAACAGTGACTTTGCAGTGTTTTTCCGTATGTTTTTTATAGTTGTATTTGCGATTTCTTGGTCTCATTTGATAGAATGGAAGACATATTACTGAAATAGAGATGATTTTGATTGGTTTTAGCACTGGAAATGGCTTGCAACTGAGCTCAAAGTAGCGGAAATGTTAAATTTTTGCCGATGTTCAGGAGTAAACAAATGACCTCACACGTCTAATACACGCCAGCTGGTGGGTCTAATATACATTCACAAATGTGGTGATGATAATTATACAATTATTACAATATTGCATAACAGTAAATCTTCTATTTTTTGGTGTGAATAAACATTCATTATGTGAATAAAAAATCAAAATGGAATTTATTTGTAAAGCCTCAAAACGTAACTAATGAACAGAGGAAATGTTAGTTTAGTGCCAGGAATACCTACATTGTTTATTCTGGACCTTATTTTGAAATTGGAATATTTTGAACTTTGTGTTAAATTGGCCAAATTACCAACTTCTGATCACTTTATTTTGTAGTTGAAACAGTTGACTGGGCGATTTATTGTGCTCAATCGATATAATAGAAGTAATACTAGTGAAATAGATAAGAATTTGGTCAACTGGAATAATGTAATTGGCCTAAAATGGGAGTCAAAGTCGGCAAAATCGCTGATTCGTAAATATCGCTGATACATCAAAATTCGCAAGAGCATAATTTCATCAATTTTCCATCAAATTTCATACTTTTTGTTTTATTACCTTCATAAAAAGATTCTCTACCATTTCATACTCTCATGATCTCCGCAATCCTTCCATTTATAGAATGGTCACTGATATTAGTAGACATTCTTTATTTGTTCGCCGCCCCTGTTTACTCCGTCCCTTCTCTCTTCGCCTTCATTAGCTCTTGTCTTCTCTTCAATTACCACCTTTCTATGTACATGTAGCATCTCACTTTTCCCTACCCCCCTGGGAAGTTCCAGCTGTTCGAGTCTGTTCTTTCTCCCTCCCTTGCTCGAAAGCCCAACTGTCTACGGTCGCTTCCCGCTCTCTTTTTCTTGACCACTTTCACTCTCATTCTCATGCCATTGCTGTGTACACAGATGGCTCTAAGTCTTCTGACGGCGTAGGATTCGCAGCAGTGTTTCCGGACAGCGTCGTACAAGGGCATTTACTATCTTCGGCTAGTATTTTTACTGCTGAATTGTATGCCATCCTTACAGCACTTATCCGTATTGCATCTATGCCTGTGTCATCATTTGTGGTTGTCTCAGACTCCCTTAGTGCTTTACAGGCTATACACAAATTTGATACACCTTGCCCCTTAGTCCTCCGTATCCAACTTTGGCTACGCTGCATCTTTACCAAGCATAAAGATATCGTTTTTTGTTGGGTCCCTGGTCATGTTGACGTACAGGGCAATGAACATGCAGACACTGCTGCGCGGTCAGCAGTACATGACCTACCAGTTTCATGTAGAGGTATTCCATTTACGGACTATTTTGCTGCAATATCTTCCCAACTTCACACCCGTTGGCAACAACGTTGGTCTACTATGCTCGGCAACAAACTTCAATCTATTAAACCGAGTATAGGTTACTGGCCGTCTTCTTATCACCAGTGTCGAGGTTGGGAGACTACTCTCTCCCGTCTTCGCATTGGCCATACTCGTCTTACTCATGGATATCTCATGGAGAGGCGCCCTGCTCCTCTCTGTGAGAATTGCCAAGTTCCATTATCAGTCAGCCACATTCTGTTGGACTGCCCACTTTATCAACGAGCACGCAGAATTTACCTCCGTCGTCGTCTTCGCTCTGCTGCTCTCTCTTTACCTTCCCTTCTCACTGATGGACCCACCTTTCATCCAGACTCTCTCATTGACTTTTTGACAACAACTGACTTACTTCACAAATTCTGATACCTTCAGCCCTTTCTACTTCAATCTCTTGCTACCCTCTACCCCCGTACTATCCCCTGCCCCGCTGTTTTCTGTAATCTACTGATCATCCCTCCCCCCTTCTGCCACCCAATACCCTCGCTTCCTTCCCTACCCTGCAGCGCTGTATAGCCCTTGTGGCTTAGCGCTTCTTTTTGATGATGATAATAATAATAATACCATTTCATAAGAAAAAAATAAATTTTTTTTTTGAAAATTCTTGGACACTGGGGCACCACTTCAGATTTTGGCCTTGGACCCTGAAGGGGTTAACACGGCCATTTCCCACTATGGCAGGGTGACCCAAAAAGAAAGGGAAAAAACCCAAAAGAAAGAAAAAACTTTCATCATTCAACACTTTCACCATCACTCATACATAATCATTGTCTTTGCAGAGGCGCTCAGATACGACAGTTTAAATGTCCCGCCAAACTGCCAATATCCCAAACCCCTCATTTAAAGTGCTGGCATTGTACTTCCCATTTCCAGGACTCAAGTCTGGCTAAAAAGTTTCCCTGAATCCCTTCACAAAATATTACCCTGCTCACACTCCAATAGCTCATCAGGTCCCAAAAACCATTCACTCCTATCTAACATGTGCACGCATGCTTATACTACTACTAAATTTCTTATAATAAATTTATTATCTTCTGCAGTTCTTGTAAAATTACTTATTTAGAATAATACAGTACTTATGTTGTATCAATTTTCTCTGCTGCACCTCTAAAATGCCCCATTGCAAATATTGAAAAAAAATTATTTACAGTATTAAGGAATAATTTTTGTGGCAGTTTTGTACAGTGCAGCCTCTCCTCACTTAACAAGAGAGTTCCATTTCTAAGACCACGTCAGTAAATGAATTCGTCACTAAGTGAGGAACATACTATAATAGTACTTGGTGTCAACCATTTATAACATTTCTGGTATATTTTTAAATGTTTAAACAGTAGCGTAGTGTATGTTGTAATAAACAGAATAGAGGAAATCAGCTCTAATATACATTATTTAGGTATGCATACTGGTCAGAGAGCCCGTCGTAAGTCCGAGTCGTCGGTAAACGAGAATGTCGCTAAGTGACGAGAGGCTGTATATAGAAACAAGTACAATGCAACCCTGGTTTTCGAACTTAATCTGTTCCAGAAGGTTGTTCTAAAACCGAAACGTGTGAAAACTGAATCAATATTTCCCATGAGAAATAATGTAAATACAATTAATCCGTTCCAGACACCCAAGAAGATTCACAAAAAATTCATTTTTTAAAGAATATGACACTAATATCAAATCTACGGCTTATTTATCTGTCACAATTTATCTAATATGACATAAACAATATAAATAACATAGAAACCTGAAATACACTCTAGAATGAATAAAATATGTCATTAAGTATGTGGCTAGTGGTAGTGGAGGTGGAGAGTTTGTTTGGAGGCAGGACAAAATGCTCCTGCTATATGACACTAATATCAACTCTGTGGCTTGTTTATCTATCTCAATTGATCTAATATGACATAATATAACAACATAAAAACATGATATATAGTACTCTAGAATGAATAAAATGTCATTACGTATGTGGAGTGGTGGAGGTGGTGGTGGTGGTGGTGGTGGTGGTGGGTTTATAAGGACCGCTGACAGCATAAGCCGTACATATAGTGTTGGTGGTGGCGGCGGTGTTGTCACTGGCCTTATATACCTCAAACAACAATGGAGGAGTTAGTTTTGTGTTGTCATTTTCCTATCACTTAATCACTTAACTTGCTTGCTACACTGTTAATGCTACACTTTATCGCTGGCTGGTGCTATAGCCTTTATCGACTCTTGCTACTTTGGTATCATACATATCATAGAATTGCTGAAGAAGGCGCATTCTCCCCTCTCTCTCAGCCCTTTACCAAAGGGCTGGCTGGCACTAGGAACTTTCTTTGGGCCCATGGTGGCTTATTTCGCACTCACAATTAATAAACGCGCACCAGAAACGAGGGATTACTGTACTACAAAATGTTTTGGAGTGAGCGAAGTAATGCTCACTCGCCCAGTGACAGAGGCCTACTGAGACACGTAGTGGCGGTGTCCCCAGGCGGGCAGACGCACGTAATACATCCGATTGCCGGATCAAGGTCCGATATCCGGAACAAAATTTCGCACAAAAAACGATCCTAAAACCGAAATGTCTGATAACTGGAGCATGTGAAAACCAGAGTTCCACTGTAGTCTTAATTTTCAATAATGTGCTGCAGCTTAACATAATAGTTGCTAAGGATTATGAAGTGTAGATTGTATGGAAAGTCTTGTTGTGGTAGGTGTCTTCTGGGCCTCTGCAGGTGTTGAGTGTGATTCTCTAGCATGAGTGTCCAGCAGTAGTCAACCATCAAACTGATCGTCAAGTTTCCCTGATATCTCTTCTCCATAATGGCTCTTGTCTTGGTGAAATTGTTCACTGTGGGATTCTGTTTTGCAGAAACTGTATGTGTGGGAGCAAAAATGAGTTCAGATTTGAAGTGTCCCAAAATTAGCTAGAGGCTTGTTTTTTAAATGGACTGAAACCAGTGTTGGCCATTGTTTAATAAAAGTCAGAACAGCTCAGTGCTGTTCAGGATGAACCAAAACATCCAGGGTTCTTTCTCAGATTTATAGGTTACTTGTGAATAATGCATTATTTTATGACTAGCAGTTTTTTTGTTTTTATTATTATGAAGATTCTGTCTGATACTGAATGGGAGTAGTTGAGAGACAGTCCAAACTAGTGCATTGACAAATTTTGCTAACGTTCTTCAACTTTATGAGTTACTAAAAGATAAACCTGTATAAAAGAAATTTCTTGTTGGCTCTTGTTTATGGTTTTGAGTTTTTAAAACTATGCCCATTTGAGCATTAAAAAGAAAACTGGTATAGTACAATCTCACTAAGTTATATGTTAAGGATCTCTTCAAGGGATTGATGCCAGTGGAGTTTCTTGATTCAAGGAATTGGATTAAACTGATGACCTCCCATATCTCGGATGCCATGTGATCCCCGCAGATTTAGCTCCTCTTCGTGAATGTGACTGTAGCGTGTGAAAGATATTCATTGAAGTATATATAATAGTAACTAGGGAGGGAGAGAGAGGTATTTGCACATATGAGGTAAGTGTTTAACTTGTTTCCAGTTGTAATGATTTTCACTGGGTCTCTAGAATTTGTGAAAGATATTCATTGTATATGTAAAAGTAACTAGGAGGAGAGAGAGAGAGAGAGAGAGAGAGAGAGAGAGAAAGAGAAAGGTATATACACATGTAGGGTAAGTGTTTAACTTGTTTCTATTTGCATTGATTTTCACATGGTCTCTGACCCTTTTGAAGTGTTTAAAATGGCTTATTTTTCAGTATTTGATCTTGATGTTTAATGAGGCTTATTTGTACCGGACTTTGTAAATGCTTCACGTGTGTGTATTGAACCTTTTCCTGGTGCTTTCATCCACAGTCTGCTTATTCTGCTCTCTCTTCTTGTCATTCTCTTGCATCCATTCCTTAATTCACCAGTCATTATTATCTAACATTGTGGACATAGTTACTAACACACTACGTATCTCCCAACTTGCAGTGTCATCTTTCGCTTCCTCGAATACGGAGACAATAGACAATATCTCTGCTTATTTAGAAGCTTCCACACCCACCATTACTATCATCGAACCTGTAGTAATCTCTCACAAACGTGGAGTGTCTCCAGAACACACTCCTCTTCTTGGCTCCCAGTGTTTGACTGTTGCACAAGATGCTGGTAGGAGTGTTACACCATGTGCGGTCATTCATATTCGCTGTGCTAGTATAATAGTAGTGTCCTGCTTTCTGCCCATAGGTTCCATGTCATGTTTTATATATTGCTGTCACATACTGACTTCTCGTGCAGCACCTGGTTTATAGCCCTCTTTTGTTTCGTTACCTTTAATTTAAAAAAAGAAAATCCCTTTGTTTTGCAAGGTTCTGGTAGGAGTGTTGAACCACATGGTCATTCATACTCGACTGCCTTAGTGATACAGTAGTAGCGGGCTGCTTCCAACTGCTCATAGGGCCCTTGTCTTGTGTGTTACTCCAAAGTACTGACTGCTTGTATCCCACCTAGTTCCTAGCTTTATTTTGTTCTGTTAGCTTTGTCAGTTTTACAGTGGAACATTTAAGAATGCAGAGGAATTTTTTGGCTAGTTTTAAATATTGACCTTTCCCTATTTTTGCCTTGGTCTAAAAGAAACTTTGTGACGGTGCCTAGACTCCGATTCGTCACTGTGTGAGTGTGGAAGACTTCTCTTGTGGCTCTGAATTGGTCATAACTGTTGTATACCTGTGACCAGTTTTGAGGCTTCAACCTGAGGCCAGGCTTCCTTGATAAGAAAGAAAGATGTGCAACAGTTAGGTACCTTTATTTTGAAATGTTTCGCCTACATAGTAGGCTCCTTCACTCAAGTACAAGGGAGGCAGCAGAAGCAGGAGAGATGTAAAGACAATGTAATCAGTCCATCACCCTTGAAGACTTAGTTTTGAGGTGGCCAATCCCTCAGTCTTGAGAGGAGTTTTGCAAAAAAACTGATTACATTGTCTTTACATCTCTACTGCTTCTGCTGCCTCCTCTGTACTCGACTGAAGAAGCCTACTGTGTAGCCAAAATGTTTTGGGATAGAGTTACCGGTCTCACGTGTGTCTTACTTATCAACTTTTTGGTATTATATACCATCATCATATCCAGGCTTCCTTGTTCACTGCTTAGTCATTCCCCAGTTACTGTATGATCCCCTCTGGGTTTAGTGTTACCCCACCAGTAGCGATTCCTCGCTGAGAGTATAATTTCTAATTAAGATGCTGTCAGTAGCTTCTTGCTTGTAACTGATCTGTTGCACTGGTTTGTGAGTGGCTGCCATCTCTTGTTGCTCTCCTTATCCTTCTAAATGCAATATATACACAACTAGCACTGCTTGTTTTCTCCCAGTACAGTGGACCCCCGGTTTACGATATTATTTCATTCCAGAAGTATGTTCAGATGCCAGTACTGACCGAATTTGTTCCCATAAGGAATATTGTGAATTAGATTAGTCCATTTCAGACCCCTAAACATACACATACAAACACACTTACATAAATACACTTACATAATTGGTCGCATTATGAGCTGATCGTAAACCGGGGGTCCACTGTATACACCAACCTTTTTTGTCTGCATTGCTCATTGTTTCCCACAAGTTTCATGCTTTTTATGGTTGTTATTATTATTAATTATTATTATTATTATTATTATTATTATTATTATTATTATTATTTTACATGTAACACAATACTTGATTTTTTTTCCCACAAACTGGCTGCATCCCACCAAGCCAGGGTAACCTAAAAAGAAAAATGAAAGTTTTTCTTTTTTTAAATTTAGCACCTAATAATAGTCTTATTGTTTATTATTATGCTGTTTGAATGTTTCTCATGTGCCTCCATTATGATAATACATTTATTAAAGTTACAAAATAAGTTTAAGGTTGATCATGGTCCTTATCAGATAATTATTCATTATTTGGAGCATTTATATTTAAAAATGCAATTCAATTTTTTATTAATATTTCCACTTACTTATCACCTAATTTTTTATATTAGAGATTGTCTATCCAAATCTCAGTTATTGACTTTTCAATTCATTCTGCATTTTTCTTAAATGTACTGGATTTTTGTTAAATGTACTGTAGTGTTGTTTTAAGCCAGAGATGTACAACTGTTCCAGTCACCAAATAATATGTAAAGTACGTTAAGCAGTGTACAGTTTATAAGCTGAGCAAAGCCAGTAGAAGGTATTTGGTGCCACAAGTTAGTAGTAGTGGCGTAACCTGGTTTTTGACATAAACCGGACACAATGCCTTGAAAATGCTTTAAAATGACGAAAAAACCCATAAAACCAGCGTAAATAACTCGCGAAAGAATAAAACTATTGCTGAACCTTGAAGAACACTAAAAACATATTTGTCATATATTTTAAAGAATAATGAACACACAAAAAATTGCTATGTAAGTGACGTTGCTGAGCGACATAGACATAATGACGTTTGCTGAACTGAAATTTACTCTAGAAAATTGGCGTAAAGGTGAATTTGATGTAAGCCAAAATGACGTAAAGCAGGGTGTGACTGTACACAACATAGTGTTTAATGACTGTTTGCTAGGCAAAGGGCATAGTAGGTACTCTTATGGTTGTCTGAAGTCACCTTCAGTCAGCTTGTCTGACACTACCTTCCTAGCACATGCTCGTAGGACTGTCATCACTGACTGTCACGTACGTAGGTCTCCTCATCCCACATTAAACCTAGAACCACAAAGTTAGCAAGAAGTATTATTGAACAATGACAAATTAATATAGAAAAAATGACATTCAGACCATCTAAAACTAAGAGTTTCATGCAAGCACAAGTATGCGATGATACAGCTAACCCTTAAACTCTCTAAATGTAGATCTACTTCACTCACGTAGCGCTCTGAAAGTAGATCTTCGTTTGGACAGTTTAAGGGTTAAAGAATACTCATCATCTGTGTCTAAAGAGTTTAACCAGCAAATATCAGAAATGCTGCCAGAATGAAGATTAACATATTCAGGAAGTCGGCAACTTTTTTCTAAAAGTACCAGATTAGTCAGGCTGCTAGCATAAACAGCCTGGTTGTCCAGGTGGTCAGCAAAGAAGACAGTCTGTCAGGGATGAACCCTTGAAACCAATTGCAGGTAAATCACAGGAACTCCTGTGAAAAGGTGGGGGGGGGGGGCAGTGCTATGATGCTACTCTTCTCTTAGGTCTTATCTGATTCTCGTGCATTCCTCAGGCACTGTGTCCCCTGTGGGTGTAGTACTTAAAATATAATGATAAGTTTATAAATGGCAGGTCAGACCAGTGGCACCCAGACCCCAAAGACATCACAAAAATCAGAAGAGGTTATCCCGAGTGACCCACGCCTTGGTCCACTCCCACCAGAAGATTCTCGAATATTTGAAGGTAAGTTACTCTTGATCCAAAGAATTGGACTTCTCTCCTTTCTAATTACCTCCCATAACCCGTTTGGATTTAGTGCTTCTAAATATAATGGTACTAATAAAGGTAAATGATTTTTTAGTGGGTATGATGATCTGAAAGAATTGGGAAAATTATTCTCAAACAAGAGTACAAATCTTGATCTATGAATCTACTTAATGACAACAGCATCTATGAAATATGTGGTACTTAAATTCTCAACATGTGTTCAAAATTTTAGATCAGAATCATAAGCAGTAGTCACAGATGAGAGACATAGACAGCAGTCACAGATGAGAGATGTAGACAGCAGTCACAGATGAGAGATGTAGACAGCAGTCACAGATGAGAGATGTAGACAGCAGTCACAGATGAAAGACGTAGACAGCAGTCACAGATGAGAGACGTAGACAGCAGTCACAGATGAGAGACGTAGACAGCAGTCACAGATGAGAGACGTAGACAGCAGTCACAGATGAGAGATGTAGACAGCAGTCACAGATGAGAGACGTAGACAGCAGTCACAGATGAGAGACGTAGACAGTCACAGATGAGAGACATAGACAGCAGTCACAGATGAGAGACGTAGACAGCAGTCACAGATGAGAGACGTAGACAGCAGTCACAGATGAGAGATGTAGACAGCAGTCACAGATGAGAGACGTAGACAACAGTCACAGATGAGAGACGTAGACAGCAGTCACAGATGAGAGATGTAGACAGCAGTCACAGATGAGAGATGTAGACAGCAGTCACAGATGAGAGATGTAGACAGCAGTCACAGATGAGAGACGTAGACAGCAGTCACAGATGAGAGACGTAGACAGCAGTCACAGATGAGAGACGTAGACAGCAGTCACAGATGAGAGACGTAGACAGCAGTCACAGATGAGAGACGTAGACAGTCACAGATGAGAGACGTAGACAGTCACAGATGAGAGACATAGACAGTCACAGATGAGAGACATAGCAGTCACAGATGAGAGATGTAGACAGCAGTCACAGGTCAGAGACATAGACAGCAGTCACAGGTCAGAGACGTAGACAGCAGTCGCAATCAGTGAGCCATTTAACACATTCAAGATGCTACATTTAAAGACCATGCCTCACTCTCTTACAAAAGTGCTGAGTATACTTCCTGTTTTACCTCCATGTATATCTACATCGAGGCAAAACTGTCTTTCCAGAAGTGTGCCAACATTGCACTTTAGCTTACCCTACAACTGCAACATCCCCCACCCCTCCAGAATGCAGGACAGGCATTGCCTTTCCCACCTCCAGGACTGTCCAGCTAATTATGTATATATGCAAATAACCATTTAGAAAAAAGTTAAATTCTAAGCACTTTCGTGATTTTTCACATTATCAAGGAATAATAATAATTCTAATATTTATTCCTGCAAGTACCTGTACATTATATACAGACCTAACTGACATCAGTGACATAGAAAGCTCCTTGTTATGCAGAGCATTTTGGGCAAATTAGGTAAATCTTGTCCCCAGGATGCGACCCCCCACCAGTCTACTAACACTCGGGTACCTATTTACTTCTAGGTGAAAAGAGAATGGTAAAAATATGAAAACAGAAGACTTGTGAGGCTTTATAAGTCTTCTGTTCTCCAGTTATTTTTACTATTCCTTGATTGTGCGAGACATCACAAAAGCACTTGGAGTTTTGCTCTTTTTTCACTGTGGTTATTTTGCATATTATGATATCATTTGTTGACTGTGATTTTATTGCATGTATATATGTATATTCATTTTTATTTTTAGTATTTTCTTCTTTGGGTTGCCCTGCATTGGTAGGTAAATGACTGATGTGTTAAAGAAAAATTGGTGTTTGATACATTCAAAATGTAAATAATAGATGCTAACTATTTATTGATCTCCATGGGGAAGTGGAACAGAATTCTTCCTCCGTAAACCATGTGTGTCGTAAGAGGCTACTAAAATGCCAGGAGCAAGGGCCTACTAACCCGTTATCTAGTATCCATTACTAAAGTTGAAAAGAGAAATTTTTGTTTTTGTGTTCGGGCCACCCTGCTTCGGTGGGATATAGCCGGTTTGTTGAAAGAAAAAATAAAAAAAAACTATTTATTGAGTCATGGAAATGGGAAGTACAATGCCTGCACTTGAAAGGAAGGGCATCTAGACTGTTCTATCTGAGCACCTCTGCAAAGACAGTGATTAAATGTGAGTGATGGTGAAAGTGTTGAATGATGATGAAAGTTGTTTCTTTTCGTTTTTTTTTTTTTCTTTCTTTTTGGGTCACCCTGCCTTGGTGGGAAAAGGCTGACATGTTAAAAGAAATTATTGTGTGGGAAGTTTACAATTCAAAGTGCCATACTGAGTGGTGTGGTAAATGTTTATTTTTTATTTATTCAGTTATTGTATAGAATGGCTGATTATATAAAGAAAAAAATGTTGATTGGGATACACTAATATTAAATTCACTTCAGTTATTAATGTTTTGAAATTTAAAAAAAATTTTCTTTGAGGAACTTTTTTGTGTGTAATATAACTTTAGAAGTATTTAATGTACACTAATACATGAAGTTGTTAATGTTTATATTTTTGATGCTTCAGGATATACCATTCTAATGACCAGTGGTGACAGTAGCATCAAGAAGCGTCAGTGTCCAGATGATGGTGAGTAACACGTCTGACACATGCACACCATTCTTACATTGAACACAAAGGGACAACACTGACTCGAACAATACACAAATATCCCGCACATAGAAAGAAACTTACGATGACAGTCCAAGTCAGACCGAAGCGTCGTCATGAATTTTTCTCCTTTGTGCAGGTCATTTGTGTATTTTGTCTATTAGACGGTCAGGTAACATGAGGGTTACCTTCATAAAAGTTAATGTTTGGACTAGTATAGCACCGACTGAACTGAAGCTCAAGTATAAACGAATAGAGTTGCATTCCATAAGCCCACAGAAAATATCAAACAACTTTGTAATATATCCTGATATATCATCAGTAATAATTTTTATCTTTTCATTCTCTGTCATTATTTGAAGCATTTGAAGAATGCCTTTACATTCTCTAACAGAGAATGAAATTTATATTCGCTAACAGAATGTAATTTATATTCTGTAACAGAGAATGTAATTTACATTCTGTAAGAGAATGTAATTTACATTCTGTAACAGAATGTAGTTTACATTCTGTAACGGAGAGTGTAATTTTGCATTCTGTAACAGAGAATGTAATTTTCATTCTGTAACAGAGAATGTAATTTTCATTCTGTAACGGAGAATGTAATTTGCATTCTGTAATGGAGAGTGTAATTTGCATTCTGTAATGGAGAATGTAATTTGCATTCTGTAATGGAGAATGTAATTTGCATTCTGTAATGGAGAATGTAATTTGCATTCTGTAATGGAGAATGTAATTTGCATTCTGTAATGGAGAATGTAATTTGCATTCTGTAACGGAGAATGTAATTTGCATTCTGTAATGGAGAATGTAATTTGCATTCTGTAATGGAGAATGTAATTTGCATTCTGTAATGGAGAACGTAATTTGCATTCTGTAATGGAGAATGTAATTTGCATTCTGTAACAGAATGTAATTTGCATTCTGTAACAGAGAATGTAATTTGCATTCTGTAACAGAGAATGTAATTTGCATTCTGTAACAGAGAATGTATTTTACATATTGTAACTATATAATTTACATTCCTTAACAATGTAAAGGTACCTAATTTGCTTGCTAAGTCATTGTTAAAAATCTCTCTTCATACCTGTGCAGATACATACACCTCTCAGTGTATGTACAGATGCATGTACCTCTGTTAGAGATACACACACACTTGTGTGTATACAGATACACACCTGTGTGTGTACACAAATACATAACCCTCTCATTGGTTGAACTGGGATGGTAATACTGGTAAGTTGCAGAAACACAGGTGTATACACATGTTAAAACAGTTAATATGGATACATTTTTTGAAGTGAGGAAATATATCCTCCTTAATTACCTTAATGGGCATATGTTTCTCTTACCACGCCACCTTACATTTCATATGCACTACACTTTTTTGTGGCCAGAGTATGCAGGTATATCTTAGCCCTTTCAGGGTTGGTGCCCTATTAGCACGGCTGGCACGCCAGAGTTGGTGCTGTACTAGTACTCATAAATTCTAGCGCCTTCAGATCTAGTGAGAGAAAGCTGGTAGGCCTTCATATGAAAGAATGGGTCTATGTGGTCAGTGTGCGCAGTATAAAAAAAATCCTGCAGCACACAGTGCATAATGAGAAAAACAAACTTGGACCATGTTTTTGGTTTAAAACAGCGACTTTGCGGTGTATTTTCGTATGCTATTTATGGTTGTATTCTAGTTTTCCTGATCTCATTTTATAGAATGGAAGACATATTACGGAAATTGAGATGATTTTTATTGATGTCACAACGAAAAGTACCTTGAAATTGAGCTCAAAGTAACAGAAATGTTCGATTTTTGCCAAAGTTCAAAAGTAAATAAATCAAGCCATGCGTCCAATGCACTTCAACTGGTGAGTCTAATATTCTTTCACAAGTGCACTGATATTATTTGTACCATTTCTACAGTAATGCAGTAGTCTGCATAACAGTAAATTTTCTATTTTTTGTGAGAATAAAAATTCAAAGTGGAAAGCAAAAGAAATGTAACAGAGGCCTAGGGATGTGACTAATGAACAGAGGAAATATTATTTTAGTGCCAGGAATGTCTGTCTTGTTTATTCTGGACCCGATTTGGAAATTGGCATCTTTTGAAATTTGTGTGAAATTGGCAAAATTGCCAATTTTGGACCACTTTATTAGATAGTTGAAATTGGTAAATGGGTGGGTTCTTGTACTCATTTGACAGAAAAAATGGAGTTCTAGCAAAATAGTTATGATTTTTGTTGACTGGTACACCAGAGTTGGCCGAAAATAGGGCTCAAAGTGGGTGAAATCGCCGATGCGTAAATGTCGTCGAGACCGCTAACTTTGCGAGAGCATAATTCCATAAGTTTTCCATCAAATTTCATACTTTTGGTGTCATTATCATCGGGAAAAGATTCTCTATCACTTCATAAGAAACAAATTTTTTTTTTTTCTGAAAAATTTTTGACCCTGAGAACAAGTTTAGGAGAGGGCCTCTCGACCCTGAAAGGGTTAATTACAGCACAATTTATGTATACTCTATTTTATGACACATCAGTTTTTTTTTTTTTTTTAACAAGTCGGCTGTCTCCCACCGAGGCAGGGTGACCCAAAAAGAAAATCCCCAAAAAGAAAATACTTTCATCATCATTCAGCACTTTCACCTCACTCATACATAATCACTGTTTTTTGCAGAGGCACTCAGATACAACAGTTTAGAAGCATATATAAAGATATATAATATATTCCTCCAAACTGCCAATATCCCAAACCCCTCCTTTAAAGTGCAGGCATTGTACTTCCCAAATTCCAGTACTCTAGTCCGGCTATATAAAAATAACTGGTTTCCCTGAATCTCTTCACTAAATATTACCCCGCTCACACTTCAGCAGCTCATCAGGTCCCAAAAACCTTGCGTCTCCATTCACTCTATCTAACACGCTCACACACGCTTGCTGGAAGCCCAAGCCCCTTGCCCACAAAACCTCCTTTACCTCCTCCCTCCAACCTTTTCGAGGACGACCCCTACCCTGCCCTCCTTCCCCTACAGATTTATACGCTCTCCATGTCATTCAACTTTGATCCATTCTCTCTAAATGACCAAACCACCTTAACAACCCCTCTTCAGCCCTCTGACTAATACTCTTTTTATTAACTCCACACCTTCTCATATTTTCCACACACCGAATTTTCTGCATAATATTTACACCACACATTGCCCTTAGACGGGACATCTCCACTGCCTCCAACTTCCTCCTCGCTTCAGCATTTACAACCCAAGCTTCACACCCATATAAGAGTGTTGGTACCACTATACTTTCATACATTTCCTTCTTTGCCTCCATAGATGACATTTTTTGTCTCCACATATACCTCAATGGACCATTCACCTTTTTTCCTTTATCAATTCTGTGATTAACCTCATCCTTCATAAACCCATCCGCTGACACGTCAACTCCCATATATCTGAAAACATTCACTTCTTCCATACTCCCTCTCTCCAATGTGATATCCAGTTTTTCTTTATCTAAATCATTTGATATCCTCATCACCTTACTCTTATCTAAGTTCACTTTCAACTTTCTGCCTTTACACACCCAAACTCGTCCACTAACCTTTGCAACTTTTCTTTAGAATCTCCCATAAGTACAGTATCATCAGCAAAAAGTAACTGTGTAAACTCCTATTTTGTATTTGATTCCCCATAAGAATAAGAACTATTAAGATAAAATCAAAGAAAACTCAGATGAGTGAGTATACATAAATATGTGCATGTATGTGTAGTGTGACCTAAGTGTAAGTAGAAGTAGCAAGATGTACCTGAAATCTTGCATGTTTGAGACAGAAAGAAGACATCAGCAATCCTACCATCATGTAAAGCAATTACAGGCTGTCGTTTTACACTCGGCAGGAATGTAGTACCTCCCTGGGTGGTTTCTGTCTACCAACCTACTACTACTATGTTTTTTTTTTTTTTTTTTTTTTTTTTTCTTCAACAAGTCGGCCGTCTGCATACTTTAATTTTTTTCTTCACAAGCAGTAATTGTATATTGCATTATTTTTCCAGAGAATCTTGCACCGTTTGATAAAGATCACGTACATGCCCAAGTAACCAGAGGTGGGGGCAAAGTGCTTGAAAAATATTCTGAAGCTGAGATTATTCTTGCTGAACAAGGAGGATTCTCAACGAATGGCCGCCATACACCTTCCAAACTCAAGAAGAAAAGTTCAGCAGCTCCTACTAGAACGCTCCTCCTCATCTCTAACTCGCACTGTAGAACAGCCAAGTTCATACAGTGTTTGGCAGCTGGTATCCCTATAGTGTCCTTCCAGTGGGTAATAACCTCCTGTCACCAGGTTTGCTACAGTGCTTTATTTTTCGGTATGTGTGTACACTTGACTATGTGGTTGCAGGAGTAGAGTCTTAGCTCCTCTTCCTGCCTCAACTTTACACTTGCTAGATTCACTCTTAGCATTGTGGGCCCTGTCATACCTGTTTTTAAAGCTGTGTATGGAGTCTGTGTCTACTACTTCATTGAGGTCTTTCCATTTCCTGACTGCCCTGAGACTGAAGAAATGCTAAGACATTCCTGTGCCTCATCTGTGTCATTAACTTCCAGCTGTTCCCCTGAGTACCTGTTTCCTGCCTCAAACAGCCTGTACCTGTCTGCCCTATCAATTCCTCTTGATCATTTTGTATGTTATTTCTTCCCTGGTTCTTTTGTTCTCCAGGGTTATTAAGTTCAGTTCCTTGAGGCTCTCTTCATAGCCCATATTCCTTAGGTCTGGAACTAGTCTCATTGCATACTTCTGCACTTTCTCCAGCTTGTTGACCTGCTTCCTCAGGTGTGGGTTCCATACTTGTGCTGCATACTCCAAGATGGTCCTGACATATGTTGTATAAAGCACCTGGAATGATTCTTTGTTGAGATTTGAAGAAAGATTTGGATTCCATAGTCTGGAAAATTTTCAGACTGTTTCAGGCTGAGAGACTGACCACCTCAAAATCTTTCTTAAATATAGGTCCAGGTTTACTGTCTTCTAGATCTTTAGCAGCTGACTAGTTGTAGATCCTAGCTAGTGATTTTGACAGTGCTGCTGCTCTCACAGAGTCCATGGTGACACCTTGTCAGACCCAGCCACTCTTGATGTATCCAATTTCATCAAGTCTTTTACCTTTTCCCCCATTGTGTGTGTGGTGTCCAGTACCTTCGGATGTACTCGGGTTTCCTAGGCTTTTTCTGCTTCCACATGAGCTCTTCCTCAGTTGAATTCCCTGGTCTTTTGCTATTGTTTTCCTTCCGATGTTGCTGTAAAGTTGTTTTGGTTCAGACTTGGTCTTGGTTTCTATATCTTTCTCAAATTGTCAATCTGTTCTTGCCTCACCCTTGCTTATTCATTTCTGGCTAATCTGCTCGCCTCTCTGCTCTCATCTGTCCTTTGCTTCCTATAGGTTTTCCATGTTTTTCACTTCTCTCTAATTGCATCTTTGGTTGAACCAAAGGCTCTCTTTGTTTTTTGTTTAGGTATGAAGTTTTTCTCTGCTTCCAGGTACTTCCCAACTACATATGCCATCTCATCCGCTGTGTGTGTGTGTGTGTGTGTGTGTGTGTGTGTGTGTGTGCATGCATATGCGCAATTTTTTTTATATTGGCTATTTCACCTATTTTTAAGTTACAAAAGCAGTTCTCTGAAGTTTACCATTTAATTTTTAAGCTTTCATTTGTTGTTGTACACACTGCCTTCAGAATCTTATTCCAGCAGCAGTTTACAAATATATGTCAGGTAATAATACTTTCTAGTTTCCTGTGGAACTTTACAATTGTTGCTGCAAAAGTTTTGTTGTGCTGTGAAACTTTACTGTCCTGTGCAAACACATTAATGGGTAAACCATACCACAGGTGGGGCTTGAACCTGTGGTCACACAGTTGTAAAACTCCAGACCAATGTGTTATCCACTCCGACCGTGGGTTCAAGCCCCACCCGTGGTATGGTTTGTTTGCTAGTGTGTCACTACGATTTCGTGAGTCATATTAATGGGTATTTTTTTTTTATCTTGGTATCAATGTCCTGCCAAGGCAAGGTGACCCAAAGAAAAAAAAAAAAAACCAACATTGATTCTATCACTGTCTTAGAATTGAGAATGTCACAGTTCAGATGACCCTTTGACTCTAACTTCCCCATCCCTCCTTAAGGGTGTAGGTACTGCACTTACCTAAATACAAAATGTTATTCTGTACTTTTTTTTTTTAATTGGCCGTCTCCCACCGAGGCAGGGTGATACGATAAGGAAACATTTTTCACCATCACCCACACTATTACTGCCTTGCCAGAGGTGCATGGATACGACAGTACAGATGTCCCTCCAAACAGCAGATATCCCAAACCCCTCCTGTAAGAATGCAGGCACTGGACCTCTCACCTCCAGGACTAAGTCCAGCTTTTTTTTTTTTTTTTTTTTTTTCCCCAACAAGTCGGCCGTCTCCCACTGAGGCTAACTGATAAATTATGTAGTAATCATAATATTGAGAGCTACCTACATTACACCATGTTTCTGGTAAAGGGCTCATGATTCAAGGAATTAGTGACCCTCCCCTTGAATCTAATTGTCTCCCATTTCCCAGGTGCTGTATAACCCCTATGGGTTTATCACTTCCCCATGAAAATAATTATATTGTACACTTTTCCCAGGGGATTGAAAGGAAAGTTTATACATTGTAGAACTTAAGAGACTGCAGCAAGATGTTGACACTTTCTAGAGAGAGAGAGAGAGAGAGAGAGAGAGAGAGAGACAGACAGACAGACAGACTGATTCAGTGGAGACCTTGCCCTTTGTTTGTTCAGTGTTTCACCCAACACTTTGCTGTATCAGATATAGTGGAACCTTGGTTTTCGTGGTTAATCCGTTCTAAAAAGTCTGACGAAGACCGAATCATACAGAAACTGAAGCAACATTTCCCATAAGAAATAATGTAAATCCAATTAACCCATTCCAGACACTCAAAAATATTAACAAAAAATACATTTTATAGAGAATAACTATAGTTTTACATACAGAAAACTACGAGAAATAAATATAAATGACTAATGAAATGGATAAATGAACATTTAACATCACTTTTACCTTTATTGAAGACTTGTTGGAGTACGGAAGACGGTGAGGAGGGGAGAGGGAGGAGGAGAGGTTATTGTTTGGAAGGGAAATTCCCTTCCATAAGAACTTCAGGTATCAAGGCCCTATCCAGGGTTACTTCCCTTCTTTGTCTTTTACTGCCACTAGGACCAACTTCAGTCACTGTACCCCTCCCTCCCCCTTTTTTTTTTAACAAGTCGGCCATCTCCCACCGAGGCAGGGTGACCCAAAAAGAAAGAAAATCCCCAAAAAGAAAATACTTTCATCATCATTCAACTCTTTCACCTCACTCACACATAATCACTGTTTTTGCAGAGGTGTTCAGAACACAACAGCCTAGAAGCATATACGTATAAAGATACACAACATATACCTCCAAACTGTCAATATCCCGAACCCCTCCTTTAGAGTGCAGGCATTGTACTTCCCATTTCCAGGACTCAAGTCTGGCTATATAAAAATAGCCGGTTTCTCTGAATTCCTTCACTAAATATTACCCTGCTCACACTCCAACCGATCGTCAGGTCCCAAATACCATTTGTCTCCATTCACTCCTATCGAACACGCTCACGCACGCCTGCTGGAAGTCCAAGCTCCTCGCCCACAAAACCTCCCTTAAAACCCCTTTCCTTCCCAACTTTTCGAGGACGACCCCCACCCCGCCTTCCTTCCCCTACAGATTTAAATGCTCTCCATGTCAATTTTACTTTGATCCATTCTCTCTAAATGACCAAACCACCTCAACAACCCCTCTTCTGCCCTCTGACTAATACTTTTATTAACTCCACACCTTTCTCCAATTTCCACACTCCGAATTATTTGCATAATAATTTTTTCACCACACATTGCCCTTAGACAGGACATTCCACTGCCTCCAACCACCTCCTCGCTGCTACATTCACAACCCAAGCTTCACACCCATATAAGAGTGTTGGTACTACTATACTTTCATACATTTTCTTCTTTGCCTCCATAGATAATGTTTTTTGTCTCCACATATACCTCAATGCACCACTCACCTTTTTTCCCTCATCAATTCATAATTAACCTCATCCTTCATAAATCCATCCGAAGACACATCAACTCCCAAGTATCTGAAAACATTCACTTCTTCCATACTCCTCCTCCCTAATTTGATAACCAATTTTTCTTTATCTAAATCATTTGATACCCTCATCACCTTACTCTTTTCTATATTCACTTTCAACTTTCTACCTTTACACACATTCTCAAACTCTTCCACTAACCTTTGCAATTTTTCTTTAGAATCTCCCATAAGCACAGTATCATCAGCAAAAAGCAACTGTGTCAATTCCCATTTTGTATTTGATTCCCCATAATTTAATCCCACCCCTTTCCCCAACACCCTAGCATTTACTTCTTTTACAACCCCATCTATAAATATATTAAACAACCATGGTGACATTACACATCCCTGTCTAAGACCTACTTTTACCATGAAGTAGTCTCCCTCTCTTCTACACACCCTAACCTGAGCCTCACTATCCTCATAAAAACTCTTTACAGCATTTAGTAACTTACCACCCATTCCATATACTTGCAACATCTGCCACATTGCTCCCCTATCCACTCTATCATATGCCTTTTCTAAATCCATAAATGCAATAAAATTTCCCTATCTTTATCTAAATACTGTTCACATATATGCTTCAATGTAAACACTTGATCTACACATCCCCTTCCCACTCTTTAAAACCTCCTTGCTCATCCGCAATCCTACATTCTGTCTTACCTCTAATTCTTTCAATAATAACCCTACCGTACACTTTTCCTGGTATACTCAGTAAACTTATTCCTCTATAATTTTTGCAGTCTCTTTTGTCCCCCTTACCTTTATATAAAGGGATTATACATGCTCTCCGCCAATCTCTAGGTACCTTCCCCTCTTTCATACATTTATTAAGCAAAAATACCAACCACTCCAACACTATATCCCCCCCCCCCTGCTTTTAACATCTCTGTCATGATCTCGTCAGTTCCAGCTGCTTTACCCCCTTTCATTCTTCGTAATGCCTCGTGCACCTCCCCCACACTCTTATCCTTTTCTTCACTCCTAAAAGATGGTATACCTCGCTGTCCAGTGCATGAAATTACCGCCTCCCTTTCTTCGTCGACATTTAAAAGTTCTTCAAAATATTCTCGCCATCTACCCAAAACCTTCATCTCCCCATCTACTAACTCCCCTACTCTGTTTTTAACTGAC